AGCGTACCCTCCGCTCGCAGCCTCAGCCGTCTCTGAGGTCTTTGCCCAAATACACGGCGTCCACGCCTCAGCGAAAAAGAGGTTATCGCCATCTTCGGTCCTGTTACCCCGGCCCGTGCTGTCTGTGAGGTCGTACTCGCGCATCTGCTTCTCGATAATCGCCTCGCGGACGAAGCTGGCCGTATCAATCTGAGCGGCCACACGGCGGGGAAATGGCACGCGAAGAGCCTCGCCCTTGGGAGCGGCCTTGAGACCCTGTTCCGCACGGGAACGACGGTAGTGGGCTGTGGCGCGCTTGCTGGCGGGCACGTAGCCGAACTTGCCTCTCTCCTCCTCAGGGTTCTCAGGCTGAGGATCAGCGGTGCGCATCCATTCGTCCATGCGGCCCTTGATCTCCGAGTTCCATCGCGCGGTGAGGTGCGCCGCATTGGTCATCTGTTCGGCCTTGGTGTGAGGGCTAGGCGGCGCCGGACGCTGGGCGTGCCAGCCGGGAGTGAGGGAGACGTCGAAGAGCTCCGGGATGACGACGCGGAAGTTTTCAACCTCGCGCTCGTCGATGTCGCCGCCTTCCCGATCCATGTTGTTCAGCTTGTCGATGAGCGAGGCGTTTTGGTAGGCCCAAAAGTCCGAAAAGGCGACAGAGTCGTTGTCGAGAGCGGCTTGGTAGACGCGCTCAACTTGTGCGAAGAGGGCGCGAGCAGCAAGGTCTACTATACCCTGGCCCAACTCTCGTGGCAGGGAGGCGAGGGTCCAGACATCCCACGTGCCGAAGGAGAAGACCCAGATGGTCTCCTTGGGGATGTTCTCGCGTGTCTGGGGTTGGGCGAGGAACGTGTCGATCTGGGCGGCAAGGTCGGCGACGGTATCGGCGATGGGGAACTGGTCGAGGAGAAAGTCATAGTTAAAGCCCGGCGCCTTGTACTCTTCGATTTCACGCTGGACTTTCTCAATGGTATCGCGATAGTGTTGGTTAGATGTCAAAGCCTGCGCTGGGAGACTGATCAAAGGAGTGAAGGATTGGTGAGAGGAGCATCGGAGCTTAAGGTCATGTTAGTCAACTGTAATTTGAAAGCGACACGAACACAGAAATTAGACCTACCTCTTCACAAAGGGCCTCAGTCCATCCCTTGCTCTTGGCTCCCTTTCCGCTCGACGGCGTCGCGATATCAGGCGATCCAAACGCAACGACTCTCACACCACCAGGTCCGAATCCAGCATCTTCTGCGCTCTTGCCGAAAGGCGACCAGCTCCATCTTGAGCTTGAATCGAATATCGTGTCTGTCGATGTTGGCGACGTGAAAAACTTGCCCAAAAGAAGTAGCCCGCAAAAAGCAAGAACAAGCTGGACGATGAGCCGCGGGCCGCCGCGCAGGACTCGTGTAGATATGAAGGCGAGGAGCATCTTCAAGCTCATGTCGCACTGCTCAAACGGGTTGCCGGAGGCGCTACTACTGCTGCTACTGCTGTACGCCGCCGGTGATGAAGGCCGCCGTTCGTGGCGGGGGAGCTCCTTTGACATTCTGTGCGAGGTGTATCGAGGGAACTGAGTTGCGTCGTCAAAGGTGACGATGATCTTTGGGATGAGTCCAGGCGCCACGGTTGGTAAGGTGAGTCGACGGGGCGACCGGCGCGTGGCGTTTCTTCGTTCAAATTTTGCTGTCGTTTCCTCTGTAGTCGCTGCTTAATTTTCCCTGCGTGTCAACTAGCAACAATGATGACGAGGAATATGTCGGTTGCCGTTTATGTTTTGGATAATATTTCGTGATCCCTCAGGATGGTGGTTTACACAGTCCTTCCCGATGGAGTAGGCGCTCGTATGTGTGTGTGGTGTGTAGATGGAACACCGTTGTTGCTTGTGGTACCGTGCCAAGCCGGCAGTCGAAGAGGCGAAAAAGTCAATGGTTGACCGCCAAGAGGTCACTACACCGGACGGGCGGGATGGTTACGTCGGGGACGGATGGTGTGCCGGATTTTCGCCTGTTGATCTATTCCTGAGTATTCCACCGGAGGAGGCTCTACGTAAACAGATAATGAAAGCCGTGGAAACAAGAAAGAAAATGAGGAAAGGTATCTCTGAGGGATGATCAGGTACAAAAGTGTCAAGAGGTCAAAGGGACGAAACAATAACCACACTAAAAGAAGATGGGAAGACGTCCCTTCAAAAAGCAACCTCTCAGACCCTCTTGCAGGAGAAACCGATGGGAATCTTGGTAGGAAAAAAGGGGGCCCTTCCTCCGGGTTTCCAGGGAACACTCGGGATGTGGCCCAGCCTTGAATCATCTGGGCGCTCTCAATGTCACTAACCGACTATCACCGGGTGTGGCTACCGTACATTCTCCATGTCACTCGGTACTTTGATATGGAAACTGGGTAAAGAGGCATTCACCGTCGTCACCAATGATTGGAGAGGGAAAGGCGGGAAGGCGGCTTGGTCTGATGGTCTTGTCATCTATGATCCCCGGTTCATCCCAGCTTCCACCTCAACTTGACATTCAGGCGAGCGGGGAGTGGGCACATCGGCGTGGTAGGCCTGTCCTTTCACCTCTTTTACTTTGCCTCATCCTCGCATTTCCTGGGAATGCAGCGGCGGGAGCGCTGAGAACGAACGAAACAGGAGCAGGGCCAGCTGAGGAAGAGAGCCATAGAAACCGCACAACGTTAGTCGGCGCTTGTCACTGCGGTTGCCGCACCGCTCTTGGTGTTGCTGGGGATTGTGTCATCCTTGCTTTGATGTGCAGTCGTCGTAAGCTCGAGTGGAGACCGTCATCTGAATGGGGGTTCTATGGGCTTGCGAAGTGCGCGTGTGTGGCTCAGGCTTTTTTTTGGTTTGGTTTTCTGGGACCATGGCCCTATCCTATTCTCGGTCCGCCCCCTTGGACGGCGGGGATCAAGGCAATAAGTCTATTTCCATCTGTAATAATTCTTAGCAGTCAACACTTAAGAATTAGAGTCTATCGATAGAGAGAAGATAGTGAGAGGCAGTGGCTCTACAGACACTCTGTACGGATATCGGCTTCAGACCTGGAGACTCGTGGTGTCACGGTAGCTCAGGGGCTTGCAGACGTGTGTCTGCATCCGTCCAGGAGGCTGGATAGCATGTTGGTTCGTCTTGCGTCGTGTTTGATCCCCCCCCGCTGTACCCGCTGCCGCGTTGGTGTCGCATTTCTGCAGGTTACGCAGCCCATTACATTTCTGGGCGCTCCGCCGTCTCTACTAGGCGCCCCAGTTCTGAGTCTTGCTGTCTTGCAACCCCATGGTCCATTGTCCATACCCATCGAAGAAGTCTCGGCCGTTGATGTTTTCTCTGTTTCGGGGGGTCTCATGACGGCTCTAGAGACCGAGACCGGGTATGCTTCTGGCATCTCTCCTCGCCCTCTAGCGGCAAACATGCACGGGATAATTGCAGGTAGTTGACGGCATGCAGAGTCGGGTTGATGCAGGCAGAGGGTGGAATTTTGCACCAGTGCCTTGAACGTCCATAGGAGTCATGGCAAACTTCCTTTCTCCACATCCCGAAAGCCCTGCCAGCGGTCGAGCCGTGTCAATCATCAGCTCAGAGGAGAGTCAGCGACAGCGGCGAACCCAACTCATCTGGCAATGCATCACGCGAGTGTCTCCATCATTGATAGTAGGTATAGTGGGGAAAGCGGTTGTGCTGCAGGGTGGAAGGATGGCAATCCATATTCCCAAGCCTTGGAGATTCAAGGTTGTTTTCTTTTTTCTCACACACTCTGTGAGCATATCCTAGGCTCACAGCGAATAGTTCGCGCTCGCGGCCTTCGTGTTCCCCCAAGAAAATGTCTTGACCGACTTGGCTGTGACATGAACGGTTTGTACTTCAGCGAAAGATCAGCCACCTGAGCAGTTCCCGAGCTAACCGGATAGCCGCTGCCGAGACCTTGCAGTTCAGTCTCTCTCAGAGTTCCCCCTCCCGTCAGATTTCACCCATCTTCAAGTCGTTGCGGCGCCGAGGACGGCATCTTCGGCCATCTCAATGCTACCATGTCACTTCAAGCTTACCGCTTGTGTGTTGCGTGGCTTGGAGCTATGTGCCGGCCGCCGGGCCATGGGGCGAACCCGAGCGATGCTGCAAAAACACACACACAACAACGAGAGCCCATGGGCCATGAAAACAATTGCCCAGTCAATGCTGCCAAAATTCCCGACGGGGAGAAGGGGAGAGACAAGGGGAGTGGAATTCCCTTACCCCTGTTCCCCAAGAATCTTAGCACACGTCATTCTGGATGTCTCCGAGAGATTCCCAATCCTCGTCCCGCCCCTCAGAGACATGGGCGGATTCGCGGAAACACACAAGGAGGAGGCCGCGGTGGTGGGTTCCATACGCCTGTGTGACAGGCTCCGCGAAGCCCGCCCACATCGTTCACAAACTTTGAAACAAACGTTGATCTAGAGAAATTGAAAAGAGGTCGAGAACAAAACGGCTTCCACGTAATCCTCGAGAAAGGTCAGAAGCCCCTCTGTTCTCGCTTGGCCTCCCTCCGAGGTGAGCTAATTCGGACGCGCCGCGTTGCACCGCCGGGGGACTTCCCATGTTCTCTCCCTTCTTCTTCCTCCGCCGCCCGCTCGGTCATGCGCCGTGCCGTGGTCCGCCCACTTCCCGCGGCTCTAAATTTGAAAAATGGGCGGCCGTCCTCGCCGCCGTGGTGGTTGATTGCGATTCGCGAGTCCCACTTGCCTGGCAGATGGGGATGAGCCGAGGGATATGGTAGGATAAACAGAGAGGCTCAGCGTCTTTGAGTATGAATGCATTCGTAACCTAGGCACTTAACAATCTTAAGTAGCATCTTAACTCAGCCTGGATGTCCACGTCGCCCTTAACCAGGCCTGCCCGCAACTCAAATAGAGGATCACCAAATGCTTGAACCCAATTAAGCAATTTTCGCAATGATGGTTGACTGAACTGAATCTTCACCCGTCGTGTACTCCACATCGCGTGTATCCGTACGATTGTCATCGCCAGGCAATCACGCAACCCAAATTTAGAAGCCTCCCTCGAGATACATGCCCGTCACGGCGAGCCCAATCGCCGTGGTGAAGGGGTACTTCTGCGGGAACCCCGGTCCGCCATGCTCCGGGTCCAGCCCGCTGGTGCCGGGGTACAGCAACGAAGCCCATCCGGCCACCCAGTAAATGGACCCCAAGAAGCCCGCGATGCGGAACGACTCCTTCGCCATTTCGGCAGACGTGTTGGTTCGCCACGTGAAGAAGAGGGTTGCCATGCCCAAGATCAAAGAGAGCGTCATTGTCTGCGCATTGTGGAATCTGAGTGGCTGTGGTCAGCTTTCGTAGATGGCGGAACGCAGACATGTGGGCTGACGGCATCGACTTTTTCTGTCATGCGACCCGTCAGCACAGGAAGGTAAGATCACTCACTTGGCATGCGGCGGCCACCGCGGATTATGGATGTGCGTCTCGTTCCAATCGGCCATGTATGCGCCAAATAGCAGCATGATGCCGTCGAGGGTAAGGAGGACGCGGCCGAACATGCTTGCGGGCCGATATCAATGTCTCGGCAACTTTGACTTGTCGCGGTTCGCTTCGATCAATTGTGTACGTGGAATGCTTCAATCGAGCTGTCGTGAGTCTTAGCAGTTGTTGAGACCAAGCTCGGCATGCTAATCAAGTAAATACAGTAGTGTGCATTCGGGGATTGGGAGGCTCCTTTAACTCCTCACTTGTCCGCCAGACAGCGTCATCCGTTCATCAGAACGTCTGAAATGTGCAGAGTCGCGTCCTGTCTCGTTGCCGTGTCACGTCGACACCTGGTAGAGCGCCGCACTCCTCGTGCTCCGACTTTTACACGCGAGGAAGCCCGCCTTGACAAAGAAACTCAATGCGACTCGCTCACTTGGCTATAATAATCTCTGATTCAGACCCGGTTGAGTGATATCAATCCTACCTACCCATGTTCGTTCTCTGTTTTCCCTCCTCGTTGCCGGACTTAGGAGGAAGAGTGTTGGGGATCTCCGATGGGTTCCGGGCGTGCCGCCCTCGAGGCTCGCGGCAACCTCAGATGCGGCACGCGAGGAAACGCTCGGTTCCGGTCCGAAGAAACAGTGGTAAAAGTCGTTGTGAATGTGCAATTTGTGGTAAGGGATTGGAACATTGGACGTCAGTGCATATCGTACCCGTATCCTTAATTCTTTGAGGACTGGCTATCTAGAAGGCCGCAGGCTAGGGATCCGTCCTCCCCCACGAAGAGGACCCCGCCGTTTGTCTTTATCGCTCAATACTTGCTTTCAGGTTGCTCAGTGAGTATGTCCTCTGAATTGATCACTGTCTTGGTGAGTAAGTGATTGATTAATAAACTAGATGAGTACGGTAAGTGTAACGGGCTGCGCTCCGAGGGAATCCCGTCATGAGCCCCGTTTTCCATCTTACTCTACCTTAGCCGGTAGAATTACCACGGGCCGGGCGCATCCTGATTCCGGAATTTGCTCCGGTATTACAACACTTGCTTCGTACAGTGAAAGCTTCACACCACAACATTGTGTATCTCGAAGAGATGACTTATATTTCATTTGAATGCACTGCCATAAACCATTACGAAAGCTGCAAGTTTTGGTTCGTATGCTGGCTTAACGCACGCTAGACAAGCGGCGTGCTCGGGCTCAAGAGGAAGAAAGTTTGCTGATCTCAGGGAGTCTCAATGCGAAAAATTGCCCCGCGAATACCAACCGCATTCAGCTATGTTGGCTCAGGTCGAACCATCCCCATGCTGCAGTTACGGTATGATGCCGTTGAACATAATAACGTCTGGCGGTGAATGCTCGAACAGGTTCGGTAAAAGTGGAAACTCCATTCCTTGTATACACTCAGCGTCGTGGCATAGGGTTTAGTCCAGTCTCGATGTTTCGATTCGCTCAAGGAACGCTACTTGTAAGTGAGCCTTATTGGCATGGGTTCGAACATCACCACAGCCCATGTAGCTCGGACCTGAGGTTGGGGAAATGCTCGAGCGGCCGCAGCTAAAGGTCATGACGCCATTCCGGCCTCGAACATCACAAGCCAGAAGCTCATCCCTACACTCAGGGCCCCAAGCTCTTCTTTCATCGCGCACACCAGACGTAACCTTTTCCCACCTCCATCAAATATCCTCGAAACTGTACACCCGCGAGATACCGGTCCATATCCTTCGACCGCATTAGCCTTTAGACCTCGCTCTACATAACCATCCCCAATACGACCATGGTTACCACCAAAAAGATCCTCGTCCTAGGCGCAACAGGCAAGCAAGGCGCTGCCGTCGTCGACGCTCTCCTCGACCTCCCATCTAGTTCACCAACCCTCGAGATCCTCGCCCTTACACGAAGCCCCGAGTCCGCAAAAATCAAGTCCCTCATCGAGACGGCAAAGGCCAAGGGCGTCACTGTCACGCCCGTCAAGGGAGACCTCAAGGACTCCCCAGCGCCAGTCTTCGAAGCCCACCCACGCGTCGACACAGTCTTCATCGTGACTACCATCGGTAATGAGGACGCCATCGGAAAGGCCTGGGTTGATGCCGCCATCGACAAGGGAGAAGCCTCGCAGATCGTGCTGACGTCTGTTGACCGTGGTGGCGAGGATAAGTCATGGGTGAACCCGACCGATGTACCGCACTTCTTGCAAAAGCACGCCATAGAAGTGTATCTCCGTGATCGTGCAGACGAGCTTGAGAAGAATGGCAGAAAGCTTCGCTGGACCATCCTGCGCCCGACGGCGTTCTTGGATAACACCAACCCGGGCATGTTTGGCAAGGTGTTTGCGGCCATGTGGTCTACGCTACCCGCCGATCGGAGCTTGCAGCTCGTCTCGGTGCGGGATATCGGACTCTTTGCGGCCAAGGCTGTTGGAAATCCTGAGCAGTGGGATCGGAGAGCTGTGTCGCTTGCAGGCGACAGTATCACTTACGCCCAGGCGAGAGAGACTTTCAAGAGAGTAGTCGGCAGCGATATGCCGCAGACGTACACCATCTTTGGTCAGAGCATGCTCTGGGCTATCGCCGATGTAGGCAAGATGTTTGAGTTCTTTAGAACTGAGGGTTATGGGGCGGATATTCAAGTTCTGCGGAAGGAGGAGCCACGTTTGCAGACTTTTGAGGCTTGGCTGAAGGAGAGTAGTGGGTGGAAGAACGAGATGAGCGGTCTCTGATATCTCGAGAAAGAAATGTAGCGATATGATATGATGGATCTGGAAGCCAACACTTAATTTAGGTACTTAAGACGTATCTCGAACGACGTTACGCAATCAGTTTGTTTCCAGACCGCTGTCAAGTATATTCGTTATCCAACTGTAATGTCGCCTTGAGTCGCCGAATGGAAGTCTGCGTAGGCATCGCGACAGCTTGCAAAGGTATCTGTCTTCGCCATCGATTGGACGTCGGATTGTAGACCGTTATATGAAAGAGCACTGGTTAATGAAAAAGGCTCAGGGATGTCGGAGTAGACAAGCCAAACTTTGCTTGATATGGTCATCTACCCGAAGTCATTATCAGGCTGGGTTTCTAAGTGTGTTCAGGGATTTCGAAATCTCATCAAAGGATGAAATCTGTGAACAAAAGATCTTCTCAGTGGATTGACGCATCCTATTGATCCTGGGTCTCTAAGCTTCGCCAGATACAGACATTCTACCCGATTGTGTTGTTTGCATCTATCATATGCGCATTGCAATTGGGTCCGAGACTTTGAAGCTAGATCCAAAGTTCTCATCCGCTCTCATTCAGGTTAACAAGAAGCGCCAGCAAAATCAACAGCAGAGGTGGTGCATTATTGTGGCGTAAGTCCAACGAAGGATCATTACCTTGTCTAGGCAGCCATCAAGTTCCTTCCGCAATCCTCCAAGGAGGCAAAATAGGCTCATATCAAGTATTTAAGGTCGCGGAGACCTTTTACCACTCGTTGTCAATTACTTTAGAGGTCAGCGCCATTCCAAGATCTTGTGACGGTACATCATAGTCAATATGAGGCTACTGGCCTTTTGCTTCCTAGTCTCATCCGGCATCTTACTCGCGAGGGGTCAGCACGAATCGCTACTCACAAAAGCCCCGCCAGTAACGTCGGAAGCAACGGCAGAGCAACAGAGTGCTGCCGCAGATATGGCTGACACGATTGAATACGACTTCGTCCCAGTCTATATGCTCACAAAGCTCATAAATCAAGAAGAGAAAGCTTTTACATCTGCAATCTCGGCTCTGGAAGAAGTTGTTGCCGAAGAAGACGACTACCTGCGGCCAAAACTCGTGCACTGGACCTCGGATGTAGATGGTGCCGTTGAAAAGGATCTCTTGCCTATGAACAAGAAGCTTGAACTAGAAACCACATTGGAATCTGAGTCTAACTTCTTCTTCTATGCCGACCGTAGGAGTGTCGAGGACGGCGGAACAATCGTTGCGGGACACGACTGGGGCACCCTGTGCATCTCGAGGAGAGCGAACCAGAGATTCACCAAGTTTTGCCAAGAGAGAGGTATTAGCCTCCCAACGGGTGGCTGGAAGAGCATGGATGCTATCATCGTGCAGTTAACAGAGGAGATCATCACCTGGGGCGTGACATGGGGCCGCCAGCCGGGGCCGTCCTGGAAATCAGCCTACCAGAATCTAGATCTTAACAACATGCAAATGTCTGAGCTCATCGGCATGCATGACGAGGAAATCAACGTTCAGGAAGATTCCGATTGGGATGCACAAACTTTTGAGAAGAGGCTCCGGGAAGAACTTGACAAGATCAAGGACGAGCTTTAGTACTTTGAAGATTCAAATCATGTAATAATTGAGACGCTAATGCTTATTGAGCCGTAAATGCTTGTTGAAAGTAAATGTGTTGATGCCCCCAATGCTTATCTCAGTTCTTGGAGAACCTTTGGGGGATCGGACGCCGGGACACGAGCAGGTGAACCGGCTCCCGTCCCCACTGCCAGCCTCTCTTGGGTCTCGTCTGCATCGGCGTAACTTCGCGCTTGTAGATGCCTCTCTTGATTGGCGAACGAGCCGTACCGCATGTCGCAAAGAATGAGTCGCCGAATGCCTGGCAGTCCGTGTCGGTGAAGTTTTGGGAAAGGTTGGTGCAGAGCTGGCTGTTGCTGCTGAGGATGCCGCCCTTTTGACCGCATAGCTTTTGGCCGCCTGTTTGTACCACGGAGTTGGTGATGTGTGTCCTGCAGCGGCATTGAATATCACCCTGCTGTGCTTGTACCATGACGAACCTATTGATGTTAGCTGGGGATCGACGGGGCTCGAGGGTTTGGCGGGAGATCTTACATGATCGCCATCATGATGTAGGAAATAATGTTCTTCATCTTGTTAAAGTCGTTCGAGTTGAATGTAGTACTAGAGTGACTTGATTGTTTGGCTGCGGTCAAAAAAAAAAAACTCTGTGTATCGTGAGTACGTTGGCTCTGGTGGTGATAAGCCTTTATGTACGAAGATCAAACTCCCGAGGCCACCTTGGCGCACGCGAACGACAACTCATGGCAACCTCAACATGCAACGAACCACTGTAGCAACCACACAGCGTAATGTGGGCGGGCTATCCGTGACTCGCGGCCTTCCACGAATTCTCCAGCTGTCAAGCGTCTGATGTTGGCCTCCTTGTGGCAGTAGCGCCTGACGGAAATGCCGATGGGGGATCTATCTGTGTGCTTGTCGTCTCATCTTTTCGGCCGCGCCTCATCAACCTGCCAGCCGCAGCCCGCAGGTAAGGGTTGATGAAGGGGGCTTGCAGTCCTGCAGCTAATTCTAGAAAAAGGGAAGGGGGAGTTAGGGAAGCATAACTTTTTCCCAAACGATCGTCCACGTTCGGATGACGTGTGTTCGTCAATGTCAGACGGAGCCGTTGGTGTTCCAGATCCTTGCGCGTGTTTCATAAAAAGGGGGCCACCATGGCTGCGCGCAACGCGTTCGCCCGTCGCAACTTGCCCGCTGACGAATTCTTAAACAGGAGCAGAAGAAATTACTTCAGCTCTCACGAGAAAAAACCACCCGTTAGTGAGGACTATGAGCCGACGGGCACCTCCTCTTCGGCTCGATGCATGCTGTTCATCGGCCGAGAAGACGCGTCAAGGGGATCATGGGGTTTCATCATCGAGATCAACAAACCGCATACCTGGTTTTGAGCGATGAATGCCAGTTAGGGGAGCTGTCATTCTCGGGATGCATCAGACTGATCTCACGTCGAGGCAATCCAAGTGGTCCTTTCAAAACCAGTAATAGCTATTAGAACAAAAGCTAGATGGAGGTTCTGCAATTAGTTGAATCATAGCCGCACATCACCCTTTTTGCGAGAAGTAGTCAAAGCCCATCATGAAACACCTAGCTAACTTTGAGCGATCAATTACTCCTCGTGGCACTAAGGTTTCCAGGATTACTGATAAGGTCCTTAAGACTAAGTGATTACAACATAAGCATATTATGAGTTCTCAATGGGTGAGTGCAAAAGTAAGAACGCCTCATTCAGAAACTCTGGAGAACTTTCATGGGATGATAATTATTAGATACATCATTCTGGAGTGTCATCATTCTCATACAAGTCGGAGTACGAGTAAAATGAAAAACACAGTCTCGGGGGTGTGGATGAGTCCTTTGTTGTAACGCATTTCTAGTCTTGGGGGCATCTGCGAAAGGCACATATCAGAGTCTCAAGAAGCGATCTGATTAGTTACTGGCCATGGCTAAGATCTATAGTTTACCTAACCTTTTGTCCTTGATAATGTTGGATACCACGACTTGCACTGATTGATCATGGGAGTGCTTGTTTGTTCAGAATATGAACATTTGACACTTTCCAGCATGGAAATCACGCATTTCATGGCACTTGCGTACATGTTCAACATGAGTGTCACTTGTAGTACCTCAACTTAACTTGAGAAGCTGTATTCAAGGCGTTCATCTCAGCGTAGACTTGATTTGACACTCGCAACCTTTTATAATCTCTGTAGTTGAAGCTTGGAAACAGCTCAAAGGCTTGCCTAATATCTAGGATATACCTACCCAACACCACGCTGTTGTGGTGCAGGGTTCAACTACCTAACCCCTTCAAGGATTTAGCCTTGAAAAGGGCCGAACTAGCCCTGCAACTAAATGGAGTGGTGATGGAATCTGCGCCGGCAGACGACTAGTCCATACTACGGCACAAAAGTAACATGATCCGTGTAGACATTGCTCGCCTCTTGTCAAGTGCGTTGACTCCAAAGTCGACTGATCCGTTTGCCTAAGTTCTGGCACAAAGTCTAGCAATTTACCCTCGCTTTACCTATTAGTAAGTGACAACACATTGGGCATTGGCTAGAATGACAACACGAGAGAGTGTCCTGTAGATGTACACTTTCATTGAGCCAGTGATAGCGATAGCAATCGAAAACGTGCTCTTCCTAACTGACAGAGGTGAGAAACCTGAATTTGCGAAGCTTTTATTTCAAACTGAGGCACGAAGCTCATGATAAACATACACCAGCTTAGCGTCTCTCGTAGTACCATACCATAAAGAGACGTAAATTCTCCTATAAAATTCAAAGTTAAACGAGCGATTGAAAGCTAGAGTTTTCAAAGCTTGGATCTCGAGGTAGATTCTAGAACTGGACTCAATCATATGCAATACTGGCCATAACTTTCCACTAGATGACTCCTATACCCGTAGTTGCATCTCTTTGGCGAATGCTTCCGACAATCTCAACCATATATCCATGATAGACTCCCATTGTATGATGTATTATAAACCATGCGGGAGTAATAAATAATCGGCTAGGGGCTGATGTGTATCAAACACGTGCGGAGCCATGCAATCGCAGGTATCACACTCCTGCTGGCAATAGGGGCGAGACGAAGGTCTAGCATCACGGAGAGTATGAATCTTTCTCATAGGCTACACACTCTAAGACCTCAGAGTAGACGTTAAATCACAATCGCTGCGTTGAAGTTGACTCGCCTGGCGCAGTCTAGTTGCGATGCAAAATCGAGTTGTCATTGTTCAGCTCTGGCTAAATCACCGTCAAATTTAAATCCAACCTTTCCAAAGAGAAGTACACTGGGGAAGGGCTCCCGGGTTGCCCTCATAGAATATGATCGCTGCCTGCTACGTAGATGTGGCCCGTCAGGCTGGAGTAAAAAGAAGCACCAAGCCTGTCTACTTTATTTTGCATTGCAGATGGGAGCGCAAAGAGTGTCTAGAGAACGAGTGATACGTCAGTATTTCGTTGACTTTTCCAAAAAATGGAGTCGCAAATGGCTTACTGCACTCAGCCTCGCTGGGCCTAGGACATGTTCGCTGGCAGTCCTCGCAAGCACCCGCCATAGCGGATGCAGCGTATGTAGCTAGAATAGCGAAAAAGATCTGGAAACGCATCGTGGTAGATTAGATTGAAACGGTCAACGTTCTCGGTAAAGAGTACAGCAGTGATATATAGTTGTGGTGTTTGGCTCTGATGATGGGATAGAAAGACGAGATGTTGTGAGTAGTTCGAGGAGGTCAGACTGCCTTTATGCCTGTAACAGTTCATTGCACGGAATCAAGAGGCAAGCAACAAATGCTGACGAGTCAGGTAATAAGAATCCTCAGGTTTGAGCTCGTTTGATACTCGCGGTCGCCAACCACTTGGCAAAGACTTCCATACTTTGTACACAGTGGTGCATCTGACATTCTGTTGAATGAGCCACACATGCTTCATATCTACTCATCTTTCTAAATACAGTGCCGCCGCTGCTCGGAACTGGAGGCTTTTCCTCGCAACTCTTGTAGGAGGGGGGCAGGCTTACGTAGAATCTCTCGATGTCATAAGATGCAGGAACAGCTCATAAGTATACATCAAATCGGATCACTCAAACCTTTGACAGCGCTCACATGGGCAAAATGTTATGGTACGAATTATTGTCACGGTGCATCGACTGTGTTCATTCCATGGCAACTTTCAGACTTCAACTCAGCATTACTGTGACTTCTACGGCGATCCGGAGAAGTCCGCCGGTAAAGACGGGCAGTTTTTCTCTTCCAAAACCGCACTTGGCATGGAGATCCCCTGTCATCCGATGTAAGGACCCATCAGCTTCCCCAAGAGTATCACTTGAACTTAGCCGTCCGAAACCATTTCTTGTAACAAGGACAGAACTCTAACCTTTAGTTCGGATTCAGACGTTGGCGGCTACGAACACTGTCAGATTCTATGAGGCGCGTCGATCTCAACGCGATTGCGAGGGCAAGTCTCATCGCCATTCTTGCAGGTGCAAGGGTTTCCACGCTTGTAAACTTGGGTTGGTCAAGAAGTCGCCGGCTGAGTATCTATGCCTTGTTACTTGACGTCAGAGCTTTCACACGTGCACGGATGCATGCATGTAGTGCCCGACCGTGGATAGCAACATAGCCGGGAGCTCTATCCCATTATATAGATTTCAGTACTCAGACCTGTATAGGGTATTCCCACGTCTGCTTTGTTTGGTGGTCCAAAGTTGTCCAATGCCCTCAAGGCGAAGACCTGGCTTCGTTTTCCGCCAACTCGCTAATTTTGGTACATGTAGCATTCACACACCCACTGGCCCGCGCTTAGCCGTATCCCATTGACATATCGAAAGCACTTGACTCTCCAAAGGCAACATCGCCATCGTCCCAAAGAAGACTCAGCATCAAGTCTTCCCCGCCAGATGCGGTTGGGTCAGAAAACAAAAGGTCTTGCCGATCACCTAAGTCTACAATAGCATCACCTGCTCTTTCAGATCGTTCTGGAATTCTGCCATGCTCGATGCTTTCGCGCAGCTGCGACGTCTCTCCCTGTCTATGAGTCTCAGGACTCTCCGCTAAATTGAATGATAAAAGTCTTTCAACGTATGGGGCACCCGCATGGTGTTGCTCGACCGGCGAATTGGTCTTGAAGGAGTCGATGGCTTGTGAAAAACTTGTGAGAAGCCGGTGATATTGTGCTGCTTGGGGACTCAAATGACCCAGAAAGTCCAGAACACGTAGCGCGCTATGGAAAGACTTTCCACGGTTTTGGGGTACGTCAGGGGCGAGTAGTGAGAAGCCAAGGACAAGACCGGCGGCAAATAACCAAGCCCTGAACCAAACATTAGTAACACGCATATTTGGACAAGATCAAAAGGGCTTACTTCAGTATGCACATGTTGCCCATGATTGTGCGCGAGTCCAGAGCGTCAGCACACATCTCGGCCATGAACACAGCAGCATCCACACAGGCATCAGATAGTTCAGCAACACTCTTCTCATCTTCTCCCCCTCCTTCATCATCGTGGTCGTCCATGAGTGACGTGTCTTTGTTGATTCGCGGCATGATATGGTGGATTAAAAACTCGCGAGTTGTCAGGATAATGCCAAAGTAGTAGGTACATGCGACGTGGATATTTCCAATAGCTATCTCTCGGTTTTGAGAATGATGAGAGTGGGCGGTTCCTCTCTTTGGACGTTGGCGCAAAGCTGTTGGCAGATCCTTACTCCAATGTCTAATTTCATCGAGGAATTGTTGTGCTCTGATCATGCCCAACTCAGATTCTTCGGTTAGAGTGTCGACGATCCTGTTCAGAATTGTGGCAAATGTGCATGCCGCGTCTACTGACAGATTTCGATGTCGGTTCTCATGAAGCTTTACGCTTCGTCTCAGTCGGCAAGGTGCTACACTTGTTGGTCTTCCGAGGATTGAGCTACACACAACGTCAAAAAGTCGTATGCTCTTATCGACCCGAGACCTTGGTGGTACGTCAGCTTCTAATTTGATTCTTTGTATGGATGAAAGGGAAGTTAAGAGACATGAAGGGAATAATATCGTACCTCAGACTTCGCTCGCTCTCCGAAAGAGACTGAAACTGCTCTGCCATGTGCAAGCCCATAACCGACGCCGCCTTTGTGGCAACCCCAAGGTACATAAACGCAGAGTTGCGACGACAAGCGCCAAACATATAGAAGGCCATTAACACAAAGCCGCGAGCGGTGTTCAGTGTGGGATCGCTCAACATTCCTTCGAACGACAGCTTGCGTGCTTCTGAGAAGTAACGAAAGGCTTTGGGTGCATCTCCTATCTGACCACGACATTGGGCACCAATCGCAACCATCACGTAGAGGCACAGAAGCCTCCCTGAATTGAAAGTAGAGTTGGACCTTTGAGACTCCGTACACGGTTCCTGGGCCAGAATGATAAGTTCTTCGATATCTGATTCATCGAACAAATCAAGGAGTCCACTAGACTGCGGCTTCGTCAATTCCACACTCAGTTAAACAAGTCATGAGAGCTTCCACTCACGGCGTCAAGGTAGCGTTGAACCAGGGTTTTTCTCTCAGCGTTTTCAATGTCATCTGAGAAGTCATCGGTCTGCTGCACAGGAACTTGTGCCTCGAACATGCGGTGACATCCCTGACTAATCGTGAACCCTGGACCAAGGATACGCAAGCTTCCTCGCAGGTATTGTAAGAACGCAATGGCTGAGGCATTTCCGACGAATACTTTGGATTTCGAACTGTTAGCTCAGTGTGGAACGCCAAAGGACGCCTCAATATCGTCGCTGAAGCGGCGCTCGATATGGAAATCGTACCTTTTTCTCCACTACAGGTGTACATCATCACCGGGCGCGGACCAGGCGGCGTAACCGTCTTGCCGGACGTTGACGAGCCTGCGGTCTCGTTCTCATCTTGCAAAGATGATTCTTGCCGTTGATAGAGTAAGGGGGACACCTGATCACGCTGCCGAGTCCCTGAAGCGGCCGAAGATTGATTCGGCGGTGCGCGACGAGCCCTGACATGTTGAGAATAGGTGCAGGACGAGCCTACTCCGCGTTTGACGCATGGTCGACATGGCTGGGCTGCGTCGCATCGCTTCTTGGTCGCTCGGCACGCCGTGCAGGCCCTGGTGGACCTTTTTCGGTCTTCGGGGCGTACCGGCGGCCGGGGCATGGCGTGGAGTTTGTGTAGTGCGGTGCCTTGTATACAGCGGCCGAAAGTTGCGGGCCTACCGAAGAGGCGGCACTGAATGCAGGTTGCGGGCCGACGATGCAAGGTGCAATTGCCGCCAATTCACATCAGATGGACATGGAGCGATTTCACCGGGTTGTAAATCAGCACGTTTCGATCATGCTACGAAAGGTCGCACTGCTTCTCAAACCCACGAGGCCTCGTCATTGAGTAAGCAGATAAGCAACGTAAACATCATTGGAGTTGAGATAGGCTTATCAAGGTAATTCCCCAGATTGTCAATTACAATCAGCGGCCAATTGGTAGGGCAAAGTGAGACCCCATGAATGTGAGCGGTGCTCGGCCCGCACACTTATCGTTGAGCAACACGTAAGTCCGTAGGTCCGTAAGTCCGAGATCTACTTCTGTACGGAAGTTCCGCCTCCACTAACCAATCGAATGCTCTATCTAGGTAGCCAGCAGTTAGAACAGAAACTCGGAATACTGTCATGATATGAGCACTAGCTTATAATGACTCGGCCGGAGCTCATCCCGTGCCGTGTGGTGCACTTAGTATGAGTTGCTATCTTAATGTAAAGTGTCTCATGTTATAAGTTCTCAAACTTTCCCAGTCCACCGAAAGTGCCCCAAACTTGAAATCACGCCGATAAAGAAGAGTATACCGCGACGCCACTATGTACGCAGACATCAGCAAACCCCCAGCTCCCCTTCCCCAGTCCGAATTGCAGACGATTGGAAGCGGTATTTCAACACTGTCACCTCTTTCTCGCCGAGGGGTTGGGCCAGGACTCATTCTTCTTGTCCCTTCAGTCGACAATGCGCTAGCAATTGAGGAAGGCGTCCCCGCACTGCCCCTGAAATGGGCTGAGGAGGGGTACACGGTCATTGCCATTCAGCCAACAGCGTTCGAGAGCGGTGCACACGAGACTCTAGATCTTGCCATCCAAACATTCCGCAACAGTGATAAATGCGACCCAAAAAACGTGGTAGGTCTTGTTGGTAAGTTGCAGTCTCCGTTACGGATTTTGTACATCGCTAAGTGAGATGCACCAGCATACGAGCCAGAAATGTGGAATACAGTTGCGCCGATTCTATCTGAATTCCCAGAGATCGTGAGTACCGTGGTGTACGCAGATACCTCAGAGAGGTCTTCGATCTCTAGTAGCGTTTCACCCTCAGTCTATCACTTTGCTGGAAAATCCGAAGGGCAGCCCTTGCGGTCAAAGGGTCGAACAGAATACTTTTACCCAGCAGCCAAATCCTTCAAATTCGCGACACCGTTCCAGCCGCACTTCGACTACAACATGGATATGCTCTCATACACTCGCAACCTGACTTTGCTGAAAGGCGAAATGAAAAGTCCTATTTTCGACTTGGAGGCTATCTGGGACGAGCATACTTGGTACGAGTTCGCCGATAGATCTGTGGAGCACACAATGAGCACAATGGTGCAGGAACCATATGTCAATCACATCCCAACGGTAAGGGAAATGCCGATCGTGCAAAACGAAACAAAAGAACACACTTTCTAACGTTTACTTATTCAGTTGACCGGTGGCGTTGGTCGCGGCAAGCTTACTGACTTTTATCGTCACAATTTCATCTTCAACAATTCAGCGGACACGGAATTGGAGCTTATTAGTCGGACCATTGGCATCGATCGTGTAGTCGATGAATTCATTTTCAAGTTCACACACGACCAGGAGCTTGACTGGCTGTAAGTATAAGCACTTTCGGTACTTGATGTAAGGACGTGCACTGACAAAGTGACTAGCTTGCCAGGCGTTCCGCCAACCAACAAGTACGCGGAAATCCCGTTTGCTGCGGTTGTCAACATCCGAGGTGATCGCCTGTATCACGAGCATATAAGCTGGGATCAAGGTACAGCCTTGGCTCAATTGGGCCTCCTTCCGGAGTACCTCCCTTTTCCAGGGGGTAATCTCCAGTACAAGGTTCCCGTTGCAGGCGTGGAGACAGCCATGAAGTTGAGAGCACGAAATTCTGTTCCGTCAAACGAGATGTTCAAGTTCACAACTCGCCCCGCAAACAGCGAAGGAGTGAATCCAGAGAAAGTGGTTCCGGCTGTAGCCGAAAACGGTGTGGCAACAGTTGCAAATTAACGGAGGATGATGCTTGTTGTAGGATTGGTCTAATGAGGTATTACCATTATGTGTAGTTGAAGTTTTATGGGCTTAATACCATACCCGATGTACCGTAATCCTCATGTTGAATACCTGCCTGCGACGCGAGACCAAGGTATACATGCTCATCTGTTGTTTGGGGTATCTAAATATGTGATAGGCTCACCCTTCTACCTTTTTGATCCATTGCCTTGTACCGTAGACAGAGAAACGCGGTGACCACATCTACGAAGGCTGGCAGTTCTTCATCCACAGCCCTTGAAAGCACGTATTTGATTCTCCTGCTTGTGCTTTAGGCTTGACGAAACCACAAGCCCGGCATTCCATTTTGCAATTCTTCCGCAACTTCAACAAGCAAGTATTCCTCCAAAGTCCCTTTCTCTCAACACGTGCCTGTTGAACTGCGGCAGAATGGCATGCAAGCTCTGGATTAGAAGCTCTAGCATCTTTGACGAGTTGGATGATTTTCTCGATAAGTTCGTCGTATTCGTCATGCGATATCTTTGTGGTGAACTCTCTCTGGCGCACAGCTGCAACCAGGTATTGTACAAAGCGAATAAATTCGGGCCCCTGTTTAACAGTTCCTTGCGGGATGAGATTACCGTCAATGAGTTTCCTCCAGGTGAGATCCCAAGATCTGTCAAAAACGGATTCGTCGTCTCTTTTGCGGCGCTCCTTTTCCCACTCGGCTTTGCTCCATACCCCGCATGGCTTATTGCTGGGCACTGGAAGACTAAGGTCTTTGATGATACTGTCGGCCAAGTCGCTATATTTCAAGCGGAATTTGATCATGGAAGCAATGTCCATGCCGTCAGTTGAGGCCTTTTCCGACTCGATTGTGTCAAGGAGGGAGTCCTGAATGTAAGCGCCATGTCCGCTATACCAGTCTCCAGGCCAGAGTTCAACAAAAAGTCTGGACATTTCTACGACTCTTTCGCGGCATGAAGAGCATGTTGTCAAGGTCTGTTCGTCCTCGCGGCCGTTGAATGTGCAAGTGAAATGCAAGTGCACTTGGTCGCATTCAACTTCGACAAGTTCGTTCAGTCTCGCCACCGCCTCGTAGTATTCTGACACTAGCACTGTATCGTCACTAGACAAATCGATGAGGGAAAAGGCTTCGAGCATCATCTTGTATCTTCTTGGTGTGGTTTTTGTGTGAAGGAAGCTGATGTGTTCTGAATCTGATGGGCTTTCTCGAACCAAAGTTTGTACTACTTGGGGAGGTATGCAGACTTGGTACATATATGTGCCTTAACTACTGAGCTTTCTCCGAAACTTGGCTCCCTTCTGGAGACCTTGACTTTGAGGCTACATCAACTTCTGCGGCCTAGGCCGTTGAGACTTTTGCTCAAATAATCAAATTGAGTCTGTCCTGGATTTGTGGAACCATGAACACCCTTTTGACAGCGCTTGTGAACCTGTTTTTGATGCCATCCACTTTTGGATATGATGGTACCATGGATTGTTTGGTTTCTGCCGGAGTGACAATATTGCGTACTTATCTAATGCCATCTTTGGCGCAACGCCACTCCATCAGGGTTACGTAGTTATCAGGGTCTAACGTCGCTTTCGTGAAGAGGACCTATCGGCTTCATGATACCCCAACGGCCGCGATAGCTTCTCCCCTACACTGGCGCGTGGTGATATCTGCCCCTCCCCCTCCCCCCACCGCATAATTGAATCCTGAATCTCTCCAATCTTCTCGCTTTCAAGTCATTGTTTCGAACACTTCTTCAAGCTCCCTTCGGGTTTCAAAATTGCAGATGTTTGGGACTTTTACTACCAATACGGCGATTTACCTCTCGTGTGTCTTATACCGGCGATCGACGCGATCATATGCATCTGTAGCATGCCGACCTATTACGAAACTTCAGAGGAGCTACGCCCAGAGCTCGAGGCAATCCGGGACTCGATTGATGAAGCGCTGCGAGCATTTCAACCATCTTTCTCTCGCGCCAAAACCGCCGAAACCCTACGAACAGATGCAGCAAGAATCAAAACGAGCCTCAAAGAACTGCAAAGTCTTTGGAACGGTCGAGAAATGAACCAATATTGGATTGCAATATGGACCTTGGTCAAGAAGATCATCACCAAAAAGATAATTCTATCTGAGGAAAATGCCGAAAGAGCTTTGAATGAAATCACGGCAAGTACACCCCTCCGACCCCTTTCCACACCTGAACTACCTGATCTCTACTCACCACAAGTTATGCTGAGGAATCCGTGGGTCTTCCAAAGCATCCATGTCAAGGAGTACTTAGCTAACGCTGGTGTTCAAGCGTAAATATACTCATCCTTACTCCAGACACAAGTTAGCATATGGCCTCAGTTCGAAGATCATGAAGAAGATCTCAAACGCATTGGTAGATTCCTGGGAGAATCCCGAGGATTTAACACATGTTGAGTTTTTCTACATACTCACCTGGATTTCCAATACCATTGGCAAGGAAAAGTCAGCATGGTTTGCGATCGAAGATGTCGAATGGTCCAACATGGTCACTTGCAGCTACATGGACATCAGAGAATATATTGCTCGACAACCTTTCAGTCTTCCTACTGCCATTACCCCTATGGATCGGCTAGCCCTATACTATATCGTTCCCGAGTCAAAAGATATCCTCCAACAAATCATCCCAAAACTAGTTGGTTTCATGGACCATGATATTTTCAAACAAGAAGATGTGGCTCGCGAGATCTACGATTTGGGTTTTCTTCCGGCGCCTATCTCCGCAAAGGACGTACCAGAAGCGGCCAGGCGCCGAGCCAAGATGACTGATCCGTATTTGAAGAAGGTTGTAGGATCAGCGATGATTCGGGGTTTGCTTCGAAGATGGATTGAAGCTGACCCCGATCCGGTCAGTATTCTTAAGCTGACCCAGGTCCGGGTGGAAGATCTTTGCAGCACGCTAGAAGATGAAGTTCTTTCATTAATGGACTAAGGAACATGTAAGAGAATCCAACGCTGCGTGTGGCTGGAAGCTGGACGCTCAGCTGTGACGGGCTCGAATAACTATTATTGTGTAAAAGTTGGGAAAGTTCACAGGCGAACAGCAGAAGAACAGTCCACAAAACTATGGACACAATCTTCGCGAGGGCAAAGGGGTTATACGGCTCAAATAGAAGCAGCTGAAAGCCTAGTGAGGCTTCGCTGTTATCTGGAGCCTTTCACAACCGATGACCGTCAGGCTGGCCGCAGATAGCGCTGGGTCGAGTTGCTTCCCCAGTCAATAAGGCAACGATAGAAACGCATCAAGTACCCCTAATGGGTTAGTAATAGCGGTGATATGCTCATCATAAGTTTATTATACCATGCGGTTCATACGATCCATCTGGTCCATCTCGTAGCTCCCATTATGCCCTTCAACATCGCTCCTCGTATCATACTGCACAACGATCTCGTTTGTCCTGACGATCTTGCCAAACCCGGGTTCCGACTCGACCCCAAGTATGCTTTTATCGCTCCGATCATCGGCGAGCTTGTCCCATTTCCTCCTAATAGAACCCTTTCGTGTTGTCGAAGTTGTTACAGTTACTGTGTTGGTACGCGTGAGGCCTCCGCCGAATCGAGACCCATTGGTACGGGTGGCTGAGTTGCCGTAGTACTTGCGAGCAGTACTTGCAACGTCGCGGATGAGGACACGGAGAACAGGTATGGAGGCCGCCATGATCGTTACACCTGATTCCACGGTTCCCCAAATGACGAGGTCGCTACCGTCATCTTCAAGAGAAAGTCAGTCTAGTCTCTTGTATCGACGCCTCTCGGTACCTTGTTGCTTACATGTAAAGTCTCCAGAAAGCAGAGTAGGAATCGTCGTGCACTTGACAATCGAGGTCCCGCCAGCGCTAGTTGCCAGGTTAGATGAAGCAGTGTAACACAGCCCAAAGGACTAGACCTACAATAGTCCCATACTCATGGCAATGCCGACACCAATCTTCTCTTTCATCTTCATTTGAAGTCCCCATATCAATTTCCATGGGAGCATGGCGAGCAGTATGTCCATTAGAGCAGAATATCCTGTCAGGTGTTAGAAAAAGAATTTGTTTGAGCAACTGTTGTCAAGCCATACCTGCAGCAAATACCCCGTAGTAAGCTGCTACCTTCGGACTCCAGCACTTTCCTGGTGTTTGGGGAAGCCAGTACTTTTCGATCGGGGTACACTGCACCCAAGCAGCCATAGCGTTGAGGCCCATAAGGACGTTCATCGATATAATCGCACCCCATATCAAGTTTCTTGTCCAACCTTTCTCCTCGATTCGGAGTAAAGTCATCGCGAAGGATGTTTTGCTCCATACCGCCGATGTAATCGATATCGTACTGATGACATTGCCGTTCAAGCCGATCTGAGGGAAGTTTACTGGATTGATTTGGTACACATGTTTGCCGAAGCCGAGGGACACGTTCCACGTTGTTAATGCTGATGCAATCATCAAGGTGACCTAACACAATATTGTCGTCAGTAAGAGGGTCCTGACATATGGTGCAGAGACTGAACGAACCCAAGATGCTATGAGAACATGGTCGTCCCACCAGAGTCCACTGCGTTTCTTAAATTTGCAGTATAACCGTAGGCACAGAAAGAATAGCGACGCTCCAACCTGAGACCAGATAACCGCGTTGATCGTCTGGCCATAGTCCTCCGGCCGCCCCATTTGACCGGCCAAAAGGGGTTACTTCCTTCGCCCTAGCGATGTTCGGATGTCGAAGAAGGCTCAAGACACAGACCAGCCGTTGCGCGTTTGATGACGTCGAGAAAAGGCGAATATCAAAGAGCAGCCGCGCAACTCGCGGCGGGTATCACAAACTAAAGAGGCACAAGAAAGAAGCTGAGAAAGGAAAGGACATAAAACGCGCATCCACTCGGAGTGTGGGGGATGACAACTGAGATATGACATCGCAACACCTCCTCTCCACCCTCTCAGCCTAGTTCATTACCTACAGATAGCCAATGCACCCGGCACTACGGGGAAAGGGCTGGGCTCCCTGCGAGTATGCAGGTGCCGACGATCGACTTGTAAGGATGAGACGATGATCACGCAAAGGTGTTGGCGCGCTGTAGGGTTCTCCCTAGTTTCAGATGGTGAACCCGGGGCAGATTGATGGCCTTCTAGAAGAATGGAAGAAGATCTCGTCGTTGCGTCCAGTCTCGACAGCGCTGCTTGTGTCAGGAAAGCGGAGCCATCTAGCTGGGAGCGACAGATTCCGGACTACCATTATCGAACAATCGTAGCGTGGCATCATATCATTGTGCCCGTGTCCACGTTGTGGGGGGATGAATGAGCCAAGCAAGAGCAATGACTCGAAGTCAAACTGATCTTGGCTGGGTTTTGTGCTCATGCTTTGCTGACAATCTTGCCGCTTGACCGTATGCTGGGTAATTTCTGCGACTTGTCAGAGAGATTGCAAATACGATTCCTTCTGTCTCGTGGTTCTTGACTGTGCCCGTTGAGATCGAAGAACATTATTCGGTGATGTGAGGTTGAGTTCGCCGTGGGTCAAGGGGACCCAGATTGAACAGCTCGCGCTCGGTTTTGAGCAGCCTGCGCCTCGCGTCTCTGTTAAACTAACATTGCAAGGATAGATGAGTCGATAACCCTGCTCTAGCGTCGAAGTCAAAAAACTAAATTGCTTAGGTCGCATTCCGGTTCAGCTGGGATAACAAGCGAGAATTGGAGATGTATTAGACGAGATGGCACTCCCAACGCCTATCCGCAGGAACGCTGCACAGGAGGAATCTCATCAACGGCTTTGTTTGCCGGGACGGCAATTCGCGACAATTCCAAACACGAGCGGAGAGAGAAAATCTGCCGTCCGTCTCGTCCCTCTGGTTTTCTGACAGAATTCTCTCTGCCCTCATCCTACCTTCTTCAACGAGCAGTTTAAGATCTGTGCAAGGATGTGGCCCGAGTCAGGTAGGTAAGAAAGCGGCAAATCATCCGCGGCCCCGAGTCCGGGTCAGCTGGCAGGGCGCATGGCGGATGTCGTCTCAGATTGTCAATGCAGACAGGGGAAAACTCTGCTCATTGGGAGGCTCAGCAAATCGCCAAGGCGATGCACAACTGGACTAATCGTGAGGTAGGGCTGGGCGTTGAACATGGTTCCCGGCTGATGCGTTTCGCCTGATGTATTTCGTCACCGAATCTATTTCAGGGTAAACGGGTGGGTTCCAGTTCTTCGGTATGGCCGTTCTTTTAAGTACAGGCAACTTGCTTGTGTGCTCGCATTTGATTTCGCATTCCGTTCCTGTGTCGTGAGTGACACTTGCTGATTTAGGAGCGCTGGCCTAAACCATATTGCCATTAGACTCGGCGAAATCACTGCCAGAGAGAATAGTACCGCATAATTACTGCAATCGGACTTCAACTACAGACACGTTCCAATAAGGCAACAAGTAACGTAGGTGAACATGAGCGTTAGATGTTGAAGGCTATCTACTAATGCATGTCACTGGCTTATCCCATGTGGGTACCGTGAACTTGTTGCGCATCTAGAGAAGTAATTGTGGAAAGACTTTAAAGCAGTATCTTGACAGTGGAGTATCAACTAGACTTATGCAAGGAGGCAATGGCTGAAACAGCTCGCGGTTTCCATCGTTTCTTCACGCAGGTACGCTAGTTCGTAGTATCACTATCAACTTGGGTTCCGGTGTTGGGTTTGTGACTTCCCTTGGTCTGGATATGGGCAAGCATCCCGTGTTGAGCCATTCATGCTCTTATCGAGCATCGGTCGCTTTTGCAGCAAACATGATGGACTTAGCAGACTGAACATGGCATATTCACTCTCCATTCGTCTCCTTGTTGAATCGGGCATTTCTCATCCACCGAAACTCAAAGACAACAATAATACGAGATCATCTGTCACACCTTAAACCTTGACCATTGTTGTATTGAACACCCAAGACATACTCAAAGCACTCTCTTCAGTTCGATTACAAACCAACACTACTGTCAAGCAATTCGGAGATGCGAACACTCTGGCGTCTTGGCGACATCGAAATCTCTGGAATCAAATTCTTGCTCGTCAACTTAGTAGGTTTGAGCTACTCCCGCGCATTTTATTTGCATACAACATGTAAATTTAGAGACAACTTGAAAGCGCCAATACATAAGAATCAAACCCCCTTCGTCTCCTTGCACGCATAGACAGGCTTACGACATGAAGACCTTTGCAAAACGCTGTCGACATAGAGTTGATGGGCGTACTATTTAAAGTTCTAGATGGAATCCGATTAGCTAAGAGCCCCGAGCCCCCTTGGTATTCCACTTTGAGATTCGAGTATATGAGATTAACGAGAAGATGATAGTATCAAAACTCTATTGTAGGTCCAACATGGCACTTATGAATGGACAATGCCGAGGTTTGGCAGAGATATTCGATTACCTTGGCAGCGTTTCCCTTCTAATTGCCTCACTTCAGCCCTTACGATTGCCTGCAACCATTCCTGTTGACCTCATAAAAACTTTTTGTAGATTTACAGGCTCTCGATAGAAGTCATTAGTATGGAACTTGTATAGTTCGTGCAATAGATTTGGATGGAAGAAAGGGTTCCGTGAGCATTGTGTAAAAACGTCCTGCTTGCATGTAATAGCTGCGGTGCTCGTTACTAGTTCTAGAACTAATACGCTTCACCGGACCTCACCTATCCCTAAATATATAATGGAAACGTGTTAGATATAGACATCGCAGTCATGACCTTTGTAAGCCCGCAAGACTAATAGCACTGCAGATCACTTCGTCTATCAATAAACGTTCATTATAAAGCACTAGTATTCATGGTGACTTCAGATATGTCGCTAAACAAATTTTCAGTGCCAAGAGAAACAATATAAAGCCGGCATGAACCACAAGTCGAACGAAAACACGCCATTATCGCCGCTCACTGCCAGTCTGGTACATTGATGGCCTTTTACTCGGGGTGTATCGCAGTACTATTCTCTCAGATTCTCACACAACCTCACGTACTCTGTCCCGACAGTAAATCAGACGTGACAGAGGCAATGCCTGTCTAGTCCAGGTAGAAATATCAGCTGGATGAAATGGCCAGATGGAGGGCCGCTCGAATAGCAGTTTAGACATTTCCGCATTTGGGGGAGGTGCGAGGCATGATGCATTCGGTGGCATACTGATCATACCTATATAGATCTGTTTCCTTTCTTCACTATTGGGTGCTACGTAATACATTTTTGACTGCATGGACGCGAGTGCTGGCATTGTTCAGTCCTGTAAAGTAGACTATTCACGATATCTACTCAGTGCCAAAGGATGTTTTCTTTTCTCCCTGCCCCTATAAACATGAGAATGAGTCGCTACCGATATTTGTAGTAAGCGCGCTTGTCTCGATGGGAGTGTAAAACGTAGCCTGCGGGGATTGCCTCCAGCCGATAATTGTCTTTCTCGTAAGGTGTTTCAGCATCCAGGCATACGGTCTAATTGAAGGACATCAGAAACACTGGCTGTAATGCTGTGCCCCTAATATACAAATGACCATGTAGGAGACTTAGCATGATGTTGATGACCTTTATCTTTCAGAATTTTCACCTGTCAGGTGTCTCAGAAAGACTGCGCCGCAGAAAAGGCTGGTGCCTCTACATTGCGGTTCCTTAGAATAAACTTACGTCTACATCAAATACATTTGGTAAACTTGTCGTACTCACAAACCCCGCATGGTTTGGAACCACATGAGACAGATATACATCGGGCGATGATCTTATAGCTCATCAGCGTTGATTTTTTTCCAAGCCAGGACTATGTGCCAGACGTGGGGGAAAGAGAAACAATCTACGTCACCGCTACTTCGACTATGTCCATTCGAAGTCGGCGGTTTTTGGGAGCAAACGTCGGACATGATCGGTATCACTACACACAGCGTTTGCTTGTCTTCAATATTATGTAAAAGAAAAATTGTACATTCATGTGTCAACTCAGAAGAAGATTGTGGATGTTAGGGGGACGGTATGATGGAAGTCTTCACACAGAACTTGAAATGCCACTCTGACTAGGATCGAGCATCACCAGTACGGATCACAGAGTTTGGCAAAGACTCGATATAATTTGAGAGGTTCAAAGCTTTGCATATAATTTTAGTCTGCTCATTTGTCGGCGGCTTGGTGAGTACCATAACGTACTTTATCTTATTGACACAGCTACATATTACCAGCATATGTTTCGAGTTTCAATTACCTACGCGTTCAAGCATAAAACAAGCGGAAGAGCTCAAGATATCATATCTTCAAAAGCCTGGCTTTCAGGTCTTATTACGTTCATTCGCGGCGTGTTTAGTTGTTGCGAAGCGAGAATCATTGTTCATGCCACAGATTCCCAACTAAAATGATGTATTTTGACTGAGATATGCCAATAGTAGTCGAGCTCAATAATGTACACTATTCATCCTCTCTTCTAATATGATCTAACCTTCAATTATGCGGGTCATAGCCCTAATTGGGCCAACATGACCCCTTTGATTCTTCGCGCCTCAAGATCCAGATAACAGGTTCAGGATTGTCTTCCATTGCCCAAACGTTGAACTTCTTAGTTCAGTAACATGATAGTGGATCTTTTTACCAAGTGTTCAACATGTTCTAACTGTGGAGGTATCAATGCCAGTCGCCGTCTGCCATAAGAGGGCGTTCAGTGCGGCAATCTCTCGTAATGTCTAAGGTCATTACCATGTAGCCTAGGTATATCAATTAAGTACATTAAGATCTGATAAATCAAGCCAAAGCTTCCCAGTCAACAAACAGTTGTGTCATGGACAGGTCGCAGCCGACTCTCTACATATTTTACTGTCGTACAAAAACGGAACCGTAATTGACGGCCAGCAATTACGCCTTATTTACCACATTTACTCAATGAATGTCTCCCAGATGAAACCCGACAAGATTTGAGAGAAGCTGTGGAGTTAAGACTTGTGCTACCTAGATTAATCCGGGCGCCGACACTACCGTAAGGTACCCATCTGATCTTCGTCCAAGGGTAATTGTCACTGAACACTATGTTTTTTGGACAAACCATGAATTGTTCCTTTGATGCTACCAGTGACAACCACATTGCTCACGGCTTTGCAAGAGTTTGATGCTCATTGCTCAACACAATTTCGTTTCGCAGTTCCCAGAAGATTGGAGACCGCTTGAAGCAATTTGACAAGTCATTGGATAATATTCTTGGATCAGTTTGTCCATGGGTGGATTCGGGTTACATTGTTGCGGGAATACCTTCGTATCCCCGAAATGAGTGCCCAAGATGCCGCCCCACCGGGCCGCCCCACCGGACCGTTCCTTTGGTCCTTTACACTACTAAACGCTGGTCTATGCTGAGCGCCAGTTGAGGAGAGATGGCACCTCCGGCTTGAGATTGTTGTGACCTACATTTCACCCATGGGTACTGCTAAGCTACTTACGAAATTCCGGGCCAATTCTCTCGAGCAAGGCAATTGAGACGAACTTGCTTGACCCCAACTCGAATCCAGCATCAATCCCGATAACGGTGGTGTGCCGTCCTCTGATCGTATCAGGCCAGATTATGACTGGCTCGGTTTATTCTTCGGATTGTAAGGACGCTAATGTCCAAGGGGTCTTGCCATTTCAATGGGGTGACTTGTGGCCTTGCGCCCACACAAAAATTGCCCCTCTTATAATCTATTTTTCTGATCGCCAATTGGTTTGCTCTCGAGAGTGTCTTCGAGCCGTTCAGTTGTTGAAGGATGGTCCCAATGGTGCCACGTTGGAAATGCTCTTAAACCTGGAGTCAGCCCCAGTGACTGCTGTCGGACCCCAATTCTCTCCCTTCGACAACCTATCAGATCCTTGCTCCTCTTCACAGACAACATCGGTCGTCTTTTGCAGGGTCTGAAGAGCCCCTGCATAGGATGGTTTCGAGCGTGGGGTTCTTACGTGGTGGTCGCCGTGGCTGATTGAAGAAGTCTTCTGCGGTGCGAGGCCGCAGGCGCCGGGTCTTTAGAGTGCGGAACACCAATGGATGGAAGTCATATGCTGGTGGAACTAAACGTTGAGTGTTGACAAGGAAAATTTCTGCTTCAGTTCTGGATATTTAACTAGCCATCCACTGGCCGCCGTTGGCACTGACCAGGCATCCCGTCATCCATCCGCTCTCCGGGGAGCAAATCATGCCAACAATGCCAGCAATCTCCTCAGCGTAGCCAGCACGTCCGCCGTATTTCTCAGCCATTTCCTTCTGTTCATCCGAGTCCCATTCTCGGATTCCACACAGCGGTGTAAGAGGGTACCACGATGAAATGGCTTGCTTCGCATCCTCAGAGGCACCTCGGAGCATGTCCGTCATGGTGGAGCTGGGGTTGCAAGAGTTGACGGTGCAGTGCTCCTTGAGCTCGCGCGCCCATGTGCGCGTCATGGCCTCAAGGGCGCCCTTGCTGCCGCCGTACAGGGTCAGGTACTCGAGTCCAACCTTGGAACCGACGCTTGACACATTGACGATGCGGCCCGAGCGGTCGGTGGGCAGAAGGGGCTTGATTGCCTGCGTGAGCAGGATGGGTCCAAGGACGTTGATAGAGTAGACCTTGTGGAAGTCCTCAACGTTGACGGCTTCGAGAGGCATGGCGTGGAAGAGAGCGGCGCAGTTGACCAGTATGTCGACCTGCGGCTTGCCTGTCTTGGCGCTGGGCGGCATGTCATTCTTTACAACATCGACAATCTTGGAGCAGCCATCGGGTGTACTGAAGTCGGCACGGACGGGAATGGCCTTGACGTTGTGTGCCTTTGCCAGTTGCTCAGCGAGAGCCTTGGCAGGCTCGTCAGAAGACTCGGTCAGATAAATGAGCACGACATTGGCGCCTTTGGAGGCGAGGTTCTGAGCAATGGCGGCACCAATACCTTGGGACTTTTGTCAGCGTAGGTGTTCCTAGAAATCCCAGAAGAAAGCGGGAGGAAGGCTCACTCCTTGCACCACCCGTAATGACGGCCGTCTTGCCCTCATGAACTTTGTATGGAGGGGCCTGAGTAATGGGAATGGTGATCTGTGATTTGGTCATTTTGTTTAACGGAGAGTACAACGTGTTGTTTGTGCTAAAGTGAGTTTACGCCGTGTTCGATTTTCAGGCAAGTTTCAACCGAATCATATCACGGGGTCTGGGGGCCATGGTTATTAAGGAAAATAGGAGAAAATGTGACAGCAGCAACGTGGTGCCTGTCAATCTGTCAGACCGTCTTCTCTCTTACCATTTCTGGATCTTCAGCAAATGCCCTAGACCATTTCGAGCCTCATAGGCAGGGACTTTCTTGTTAACGAATTTGTCCACTTGCTCCACTGTCGAGATCCAATGAAAACACTGGTCGAGGTGGCATCGAGTCTTCATGGCCTGTATGATGATGGGTGATGTGGGACCGAGAAGGGGCGAATGCCGAAGCCATGACCATCGGTGTTCTGGTCTACACTCGAGGATACATGAGTTCGTAGGCCGTAGCAATTGCAACATCAACTAAGGGATGAATTTCGTAGGTAAGATCAGCAACAATGATCTTTGATTTTGCATGCCATCCTGGGTAGAGTTCACTGCTAAAGCTTCATCATGCCATAAAGTCCATCCGCACACGTGCGCCACGGCATGGTATATAATGTCCTTGATTGTCCCACCCAGCGGAGCCGGAAATCCGGCAAACGGGTCAAACATACGTTACCTGGTCATTTTCCCAAAAATTGCCTCACAACTCCGTTTTCAGTCACCTCTTTGGGATTTGATGATGGTGCTGAGTATTACCAAAATCATCCAACCTGTAGAACCCCTGGTCCTGTCGAAGCGAAAGGCACCCTTCCCTGCGAGTAGGAGCTTTTCCAAGGGTTGCTCAAGGATACTTCAAGGATCTTAGCGACGCCTAACATCTCGATTGAAAAGTATCCAGGAGTTTTTCTGCCAGTGATCGGCGCGAAATGGGTGACATTGGCTGGCAACGTGTGTTGAAGACCACTTCCATAAAACCCATCTTGTATGTCCGCCAATCTGTCAACGATAGGTCTAGCCAGAATCGACTCTTGCTCACTTCTGTGGAGTAGTTTGTTCGTCTCGAAGATTGGCTTTTTCTTGTCGGCGACTACACGATCGTCCACTAGTCACTTGTTTTGTTGACTTGCTGTCCCCGGCGAAGCCCATCGCAACCTACCTTAAGAGCCAAGACTGTGAGACAGAGCTACTTGAAGTCAACATGGTAACAGAGGACCCTAACCGACGGTTTGTCTACCAACTTGAGGGCGTTGGCCTCAGCCTATTTGTGGTCTCTATCGTTGGTGGCGTCGTCTCTCTGATTGTGGTGTGCCTGAGGACATTCATTCGACTGCGGGCGAAGACGTTTAGTTGGGATGACGGCTTGATGCTCGGTGGTTTGGTAAGCTTAATCTTCTCAAAACCTTCTCGCAGGACCTTATAGCATTGCTTTCCCTATTACGCCCATGCTGACTTAGGCCTGAAGGTCGTTTACCTCGTCGATGTCGCACTCGCCTGCATGGGCGCGCTGAGTGGACTGGGCACGCGCAATGCAGACCTCAGCCCAGTCATGTTGGTCGAATCGATGAAATATTTGATGATTTGGATGATGCTCTACGTGGCAGTATTGTGTACGATCAAAACTTCGATTTGCATCACCACACTACGGATCGCTACTACAATGCCAAAGCTACGCACTGCCGTCTACATCTTGATGGGGCTTACTGTCGCCACATTCTTCACAACCTTCGTCGGGATCCTCTTGTTATGCCGACCTGTGGAAGCCAATTGGGATACCAGCATCGTGTTAGAGGGCCGTGGCGAGTGCTCGCCAGTAAGCTCTATGTTGGCGCTGTCATACACTTCAACCGTCAGCACCATCGTTACCGACCTTGCCTGTGCCGTGCTCCCGGCTATCATTCTCTGGCAGACACAAATGAAGCTCTCGACAAAGATCATGGTCTCTTTCGTCCTTTCTTTCGGCTCTTTGTAAGTATTTTGCCCAGTGCACCTGTCTGAGATGATCTTGATAGCTAATTCCTACCGTTTCGGTCACATGATTAGTGCCTCAGTCTCAACCATGATACGTACTCCATACATCGATCACTACAACCATCCACTAGACGATCTTGCCTGTATGATGCTTCCATTAGTCTGCCATGAGTAGAGTAGTTGCTGACTTGAATCGCTTAACAGTCCACATTGCTAACATCCCCCTTTGGTCCAATATCGAGACTGCCATTGGATTCATCGCCGGCTCCCTCCCTGCTTTACGACAATTCTTCATGCACCGTCGCTCGCCACGACCTACAACTTTGGGTCAAACGGATGCATCTCATGGCCTCCACCCGGGATCAGTTGGGCTTGTTACTATTGGCGGCTCAGGAGTGACATCCAAGAGCAAGATACGCAAAGGTACAAATTACGAGGACGACGAAGCAGGGCAGGGAGACTGGACGCGTCTCGATGAAGACAGCGTCTCGGAGAAAGGAAGCACAGCACCTGTTCGAGGCATTCGCAAGGACATGACCTTCGAGGTTTCGTCTCTACCAGGACAGAAGAATGGCCGGAGTAAAAGTTAGTTACGCAACGTAAGTAATATGAAGGAGAAAAGAATTCCCACCCCACAATATCGTTCTGATATCGGACACGGTACTGTGACGGCTCAAAAGAATAGGTGGCTCTAGACTGATTTAAATGGAACGCCTAGTAGCTGTTTAGGCCCGTTGCTCAGAGATTATGCTTTTGCATGTACTTGAATGTTCGAATGGCGGCTATGGACAAAAGGCGGGCCAAAGATAACTTGCTTGCTGTGCGTCTACGCAGTCAGCGCTAAGCTTTGTTCGGCTGTATCCCGAAGAACCTAGCGTCAAATATTCAGACTCGGGCAAGAGATGACAACTTGAACTCCGCTTATCTCGATTACATTTGGACATGAAGCTGACACATGTCCCCCACACCTACGTCCATCCTACCTCGCCTCGAAGGCTTAGAAACATTACTAGCTAACTGTTTCTGATTCTCTGTTCTTCCACCGCCATACTGCCATTCATTCTTAGATACATAATACAACTCGTAGTCCAGCTATTAAGTTGACACTTCCATGTCTCTCCCACCCTTACCTCGTCAGAGCCGGCTAAGTTCCGCTGGTATCCTTCTCCAGACGGACCCAGCTCTGTGAGGCGTCTCGCTGTCGGCACCGAGGCTTGGGTCGGCTTACGAGAGCCGAACTCTCGTGGTCAGTACGACAACTACCTGAACACGTCTCTCCGAGTTCATGTTCCTGGGATCTCGTTAGAGACTATCGCGCTGCAAATCTCCAACGCCCTTGTCAACATTCGATTCCAACACCCTGAGGTCGGATGCTCCGTCACCTGGGCTACCGACCAAGATCCTCCCTTCATTGTCTATAATTCACCGAGCTCCGACGAAGTTGCCTTGAACTGGGGCCGCGGTCTTGTTTCATCGATTGCAGCGGATAAAACTGGGCTTGAAGTTGCCGCTGAACTTTCGGAGGCGCGCCAAGAGAGACCTGAGCCGTTACCCCCGGTCAAGGTCTATGTCGTAGCTCAAGTGCCAGAGACAGGCACTCCACTTGAAAATGGCGCTCGAGTGGACCTGCTCTGTGCATTCAACCATATTCACTGGGACAGTATCAGCTCGCGCATATTCGTCGGTGACTTGTTGCGCGGTGTTGGCCAACAGTTCAACGCTGGCGACCAGAATCTAGCAAACAGTCCTTTCCATCATCCTTGGGGCAAGGAAATTGCCAACCTCAACGAGCCGGTCCTCGATGCATGCAAAACCAACGTGGATGCATAAGGAGAGGATTATGACAAGGCGCGAGATGACTTCATCACCGAGTTGCTCAGAAGTGCGGTGAGTAGTTCTGCATATTCTTGGCGGCTTGACCATCCACAGCCCGTCCCAAGCGAACATGGTTTCCGTGGTCACTAACTCCTCGGAGACAAGTTGGGGGCTTCCTGTAACGAATACTACAGGCACACCTCGAACTAGATGGAGAACCTTTAATACAGACGAAAGTCAGGCCATCTCGAAGGCCATAAAGAGTCAGCTCGGACCCCAGTTCACCTTCACTCACCTCGGCCATGCCGCCATGGTGCTTGCATTACTGCGAGTCAGCCCCTTATCAGGAGATGCCTCGGACGCCCTGTTTCTTTCCTCGCCCTTGCCAGTCAACGGGAGGCGATACTTAAGTGGCAGCAATGCAAGTATTCGTTATGGGTCGTGTCAGGCGGGCGCGTCGGTGGAATTTGCACCACTTCGATCGTACGCTGTCGATGAGAGCAATCCTGAAGCAGTCAGAATGACACTCGCAAGCCTGGCTCATCATGTCAGAAACAGCTATCAGCATTGGCTGACGAACGAGTTCCAATTGGTCATAGACCAAGTTAAGAGCAACTTTCTAGCGGGGTTTCTGGCATCGTGAGTAATCTCCCTCCCCCATTTTCAATTTCAATGTTTCCCTGGTTCTAAAACTCTTCTGCTTAGAGCGCCTTCGTCCTTCTCACCGACAAGCTTTCCGGTACGAAGTCCCAAACACTGACAGCCTTCATCGAAATAACCCTTGGTGCATTTCTAACACGTCTTACAACGTCAAGGCCTTCGTCAGCGATGGCATTGTCGACAACTACATTCCAGGAGACGTTTTCGGCTCCAGCGATGAAAAGATCTACACCGTGGAGAGTCGCAATTTCCATCTGACGACTTATTCCTCTGATGTGTAAGGAGACCAATATTCTAATTCCTGGCTTCGTTTGATCTGTCGAGCACAGTTGGTCCAAACGTGTGATATCTCCATTCTTAACCATTGTCACTAACTATTTGGAATCTAGGCTTGTTCGAATGGACAGTTTCAAAGGCCAGACTAGTCTTTCTGTCTGTTTCAACAATGGACGTCTTGACGAGAACCTCGCCAAGGCTTTCCTGAATGCTATAGTTGATTTCATGATGGCATTTGCAACTTGAGTCCTCAATCAGACTGCCTCTCATATAAATGTCCGTAGCTTTAAATGGTACTGTACCTGAATTAGAAAATGTCACAGCGTATCGTGTCTGTTGGAGATGAAGTTGGGAGCTCGAATACGTGCTTTAGAGTACTCTATCCGAAGAGGGGTGGTACATTCCGGTATTCGCTGATTGAGAATATTGATTTTCTTTTGCTGTCAGGAGTGAAAATGCAATATGCTTTCCCGTCCGAAAGAACTAATCTACTCTAGGTCAGTGTCAAATAGAAGCCGATGCTGGCCTGTCACATCTCATTCATTCACGTAAGAAATGCAATCCAGACTTTGGTGCCAGTGTTGACTGGAGTAAAGCGTTGCATCAAGGTCGAGTAGATTGGCAGGATATCTAGGCGTAATCTGGCCGGGCAAACATGGAGGTGCCATTGCCCACCCACGATGGATTCACAGCACGTGGAGCGGAGTATGTCCGCCAAGATTGGCTTATTATTGGTGCACCACACCCTCAACTTTGGCTAGCAGAAAACAAAATTGGATCAGAGCGGTTCGTCAGACGTCTTCCGAGTGCGTTTGTAACGTACATATTGGATACAGCCTGTATCTCGTCTTACGTCTCGTTGATGGATGACATGTTTTTGTGGACAAAAGTGGTAGACGGCAACATAAATCTCCGGCAAAGGCACCTCAAAGTCCCGGAGACCCTTGTTTTTCGGCGCTGCCTCGGTCATTCTTACCCCGGATTTTGAGATCGGAATCCCTACCCGCCCGGACAGCAACCCCGCACACGAACTTTGGATTCTTTGTGGGTGGGCAGCAATTTATGAACCGACCCCAACGAGAAACCGTGAAGCATGATTCGATGGTCTGATTTCTCGCCATCCATACTGGAATCGATCGACTGGAACAGGTGTGGGTTTCCCTCTCCGCCGCAGAGACCTAAGAGCCAGGGAACTGGCACAACGTCCATCCAGTATATGAACGTCACGATTCCCAGGCTTAGAACAACTGGAGCTGTGCTCATCTCGTTGTCCAAGCGCATATTGGCCTGCCATCCATCCAATCGCAATTATGGCCATCATCGGGGCCAAAGAACATCATGTCGACCCTCAGTTGTCGCAAATTGCGCAGAATGACAAGACGATCTGGTACAAGAAGCCGAACCTGCGCTTCCTCTATCTTATTCTCATCCCAACCGGGCTCGGAGTTGAGTGGACCTCAGGCTTCGATTCTTCTATGATGAACAGTCTTCAAGCTGTTTCGTCTTGGTTCGAATGTGAGAAAGCCTCGCCATAGAACATGTTACCCTCCGCGATAACTCAATACTGATGCATCCGAAACCAGACTTTGGTCGTCCTAATTCTTCAAGGCTTGGCCTTCTTAGCGCAATCTACTCTCTGGGCGCTCTGATGGCCATCCCATTCGTCCCTTACTTCAGTCAGCGTCTTGGTCGTCGACGAACTATCCTGATGGGATCATGGATCATGGTTCTGGGTGCTGGGCTCCAAGCTGGGTCCAGGAACGTCGATATGTTCTTAGCCTCGCGATGGGTTCTGGGTTTTGGTATCCCCTTTGCCATCATCAACGCTTCCTCGCTCATCGGCGAACTTTCCTATGCCAAGGAGCGCCCAATTATGACGAGGTTAGCTGAAATCACTTCTTGTTATTATAAGATGCGACTTGCTAACTTGTTTACTATGAAGTCTGTTCAACGCTAGCTGGTTTGTTGGTATGAATCAAACCCTACCAAACGAGAACCCAGGCCGAGAACGTTGCTAATGTGAAATGATGACAGGGGCCATCGTAGCAGCAGGCATCACATTCGGCACTTTCCAAATGAGCACTACCTGGGCTTGGAGAATTCCTAGTCTACTTCAACTCGTACCCAGCGGTTGTCAAATTGTCTTTATGCCTTTCTGCCCGGAATCGCCTCGCTGGCTGATATCAAAAGACCGTGGCGACGAGGCATTCGCAATTCTCAGCAAGTACCACAGCGAAGGGGAGAACGGCGAAGAGTTTGTCCGTCTCGAGTATGCTCAGATTATATCCACTATCCAGCAAGAGAAAGAGGTCGCCAGTAAATTCCTTTGGGCCGATGTCTTCCGCGATGCCGCCATGCGTCGTCGTTTCATGTTGGCTGGCATCATGGGCTTCTTCACACAGTGGTCTGGCAACGGATTGATTTCTTTCTACATGAAGAAAATCCTCAACCTTGTTGGTATCACGGACAACCACACTGTGCAGAAGTTCATTTTGGGCAACACGTGCTGGGGTAAGTCGTCTTGTTGCGGGCGAATATCGGTGTTCATGCTAATAGCCCGGTAAGGCTTCATCAACGCCGTACCGATCGCATTAATAGCCCCACGTTTTGCGAGAAGAAAAATGTTCCTCACGTGCACGATCGGTACTGCGTGTGTTTACACCGTCTGGACCGTCGCATCGGCCAGGTTCGCCATTGAGCAATCCCAAAAAGCTGCTATCCCAGTTCTGGTCTTCATATTCGTTTATTCGCCGTGAGTTGATGGCCCTACAATCTTGTCCTTAAAGACAACCGCTTATTATCTCGTCACAGGTTCTACAATATTGGCTGGAATGCTCTTGCGTAAGAATCCCTTACCCCTTCTTTTCTTCTATCTCATAGGATGAACCCGAAGATCAGACCGCTAACCCTACGCAGTTACACTTATCTCGTGGAACTTTTCCCATTCAGTCAAAGGTAAGGCTTTGCTGTTCTCTTCAGCCGGGATCTCACATCGATTTTGCTATACTCCAGGGAAACTTTTGAGGCTAATATCACATATAGAGCGAAGGGAATTGCCGTAGAACAACTTACCGTCCGCTTTGCCGTTTTCTTCAACACCTATGTCAACCCGATTGCGCTCGACTCCATCGGCTGGAAATACTACATTGTGTATTGTGTGTGGATCTTGGTGGAGATCTTGACGGTTTACATGATCTTCCCCGAGACTCAAGGCCGCACCCTTGAAGAGCTGAGTTTCATGTTCGAGGGCAAAGATGTGCAGGACAAGGTTCAGAAGAATGCTCAGAAGGTGCTTCAAGTCGAGCTTGAGGATATTCGCGAACGACCGGTCTCACGTGAATCACGGGATGTGCCTGGAAACACAAAGGTGTAATGGAATTTCTCTGCAAAAACTACTTTGTAGAGGATAAGACACCTTAGGTCTCTTACGTTCTCATCAGAATGACGTCGTACGATTGCTTAATATTCGCACGATGTCCCGCAAGCTATGATTCGGGAAGTGATCAGCAAGAGAGTCTGACGAAAATATGCGTAGGTATCAGCTCGTATTATCCCAGAATGGGGAGGTTCCCTTCATTATAGATAAGCGGACGTGGTTGACACGAAGGCACAAGACTACACCGCCTCTGGAATAGGAGACGAAAATCAGGGACTTCATGGGCTAATCGTTGTAGCTGGCATCAAGCAGATAACGCCGTCTACGGATTACACCGCAAAAGATGTTGAGAGAATGCTCGCAGTAAAGTAAACCGGCATATTGTTGAGCGGGACCTCAGTGGCATGACAAGTGATCAAGTACAAATCTCGTGGCAGCATTTGCATGATTGCCAGCGTGCCAAACTCATTGCAAATCATGGCCTACTCTCGCGATACAGTACTTCACTTCGAAACAAGACGGAAGTGTCGGCAAACCTCTACAAATGAGTCTGTATAAGCTGTCTTGTTTAACATCAGATTACCCAAAGAAACATTATGTGGGCTCGTCTACCATGTCTGGGGCTATATGCTTTCCGGGTCGAATTCTCCTGAACCTGATATCTCTTCGCCACCCATTCTGGTCTTATGGAGTAAATTTGGTGGCTGGGACTACTATTGATCTTGCTCAGACGACGGAAATTGTCTGGCAGCGTGAGATGAAGTCGTCGGTCATCAACTCTCCATACATGATCCCATGGACATATGCCTCTCCAACTAACACATACTTTTCGCCATTCGTATCTCTAATATCGTCGTCGTAGCTAGTCTTGGCTGAGCTTTTCCTCAGCAATAGCGGCATACGACTACCGCGAATAAGCCAAACTTCGTCATCGACCTCGGAGGCCGCTGATCCAAGCCCAAGGTAGCCCTTCTCTGTCTCCAATAACCGTCTCCCAGAAGCAATTAAATGAACCACCTTTGATAACGGATCTTTAATCAAGCTTTCTGATAAAGAGTCTTCGGGAATCGCCATGTTAGAATGTTGGGTGGATGTCTCTGTCGGCATAACCATTCTTGAATTTTCAATGTCTTCATCTCCCATGCTCATGGTATCATCGTAGGTTATGCACTTCTGTACCCACGCTCTTCGACTCTCTTGAGAGTCTTTGAGTAATTTGACATCTGCAATCAGTGTCGACACGGCGACATCCATAAAACTCTCTCCTGTTGATTCATAAACACTCTGCTGACTGCTCAGATGGCGTAGCCATGTTGCGTTGCTGAAGATATTCTGCCTATCGAACTCCGAACTTTGGGTCTTTGAGACCCTATCGATTAGGATCCCCTCCAGTACGAGAGTAGTGGAACCATGACTCCGGGCCCCGTGGCTGCTCGATCCATCTGCAGTGCTGGTGGTATCGAACGTTCTCGGGAAATCCGACCCTCGTGCCAGCTGCCTCAGTCTTTGTAGGGAAGTATAGTGTTCAGGCCCATGAGATGAAAAGTCTGGAACCCACGACGGCAGATTTGGTAGGCGGCCTTCAGTCAGGCCTGCTAGTCCCAGAATGTCGAGATTGGACAAACGTTTGATCAACCAAGTCGTCACCTGGGTATAGACGACTTCGACGGAGACATCGTAACTGGGGTCCACCTCAACCTGATAATTGCGACCCAGGATGCGTTGTATGACTCCCAGCGCGCCATAGATATGGTCCAGCGGGTTTTCGAAGTTATAAATCCTCAGCCGGTGGAGAGTTTGCAGCACTTCAGCATGTCGCATAGCTTCGTCTGTGGTAGCTCCCCAGCGCTGTTTCTGCCAATGAGCCATCCCGTTGCTAACCTTCTCACGTCTGAATGCCGAAAGAGAAGTTTTTGTTGAGTTCCAAAGACGGTCTATCGTGCCAGGGCGTTTCTTCCAATCCGGGAGGAGTTCGCCTAGTGTGTGTATGAGCTTCTCATCCCAACGCACCCGAAGAATGAAGGCAGACAGTTTGTTGATGTCAGACCAGGCGAATTGGACCCTGCCGCACTGAAGCACAATATCCTCAGAATGAGGGATCGCTGCTTCCTGGACAACCCATCCACGCGTGAGCCATCGCTTCTTGAGGAAGAAGTTGAAGTACACTGGATATGACTTGCGCCACTCATCGCAGAAATCCTTGCCAAGCAACTGTATGATCTCGGGGTGATCTAACTCCGGCCCAACTTGTTGTAGGAAGTCAGCGTTGCTTGCGGCCCGGGCCACTTCCAATATCCTTGGTATGAAACACCTGACAACCCAGTAGACTTCATAGGGGGGCTCAGTCGTGCCGAGCCAGACAATCACACTTCTTGCAGCCTCGTAGATTTGACCCATGAGCTGGACTTGGTGGCATCTTTCTTGGCTCTCTTGTTGGTCTATACAAATAGCATCGACCCAAAGGTTATAGCCATTTTCAGGGTAGATCAAACGATCCGAATGATTAGCTCCACAGGATTGGCGTCCGAGCTCTGATGATTCTGCGTAGAAAGCAATGTCATTCTTGAACTGACGTAGAAAGTCGAAAAGATTTTGACCAACTCGGAGTCGCCCACCATCGCATACTAAATGAGTAAACTGCGTCTCTGTTTTCTCTGAAGCATTTGACCCCTCATCGAACTCCGAAGGGCCCCATGTGTATGAAAGCGCCCAAAATGGGGGCGCATCATCAAGCTCGTAGGTCTCTAGTCGTGCCAAGAAGCCTTGTGCGGAGGAACTATCCTGGAAGATCTGCAAAAGGCGAATAGAGTTCTCTGAAGGTAACGCAGAGTATCGGTAGGGACACAGCCCTTGGAGTTCTCTCACTGCTTCTGCTTCCGTCGCCATTGTTGTTCAAAGTCTTCGAGGGCGGGGTAAAGAAAGGAGTCAGCCGTCGTTGCGTCAGAGAATCTGACAAGTAAGTGATAGGTGAACATTTGATTGGCCGACAGCTCTCCACATGGTTCTTGCAGGGTCAAATCCGCGGTAGCTAGGTACCTAGCTTAATGCTGGCGCGCTAAGATTAACTATTACTTACTTACAGGTGTGTCAAGTTTGTCAAAATGATTATCAATGTGGTCTTCAGCAGACTCTCTGATGAACCAAGAGACGTTCGGTGCATTTACCCCGAATTAGGACTGTTGTTTGGCGTGAAAAGGTAGAGTGGAATGCAGGAGCAGAGCCGTCTCACATCGCACCCTGGCAGAAGTATATCACGTCTTCAACGCCTGTCAGCCCATGGCGCGATACCTTCGGCGGTCCTTCGGTGACATTTTGTGAAATGTCTTGTCTCAGCCGCAGGGCTGGAAAGTAATTGAACGTTGACCGTTCAGATACTTTGCCACTTGATTATGAGTCTCCCAGGCCGAGTCATGGGGCTGGGGGGGCACGATCATACAAGGCTGAGACCATGGCTTTGGCCATGCATGAGAGTGGGATGCGAGGAACGTGAGAACCTCAAAGAAGGCGGATACCCGCGTTGTACTGCTAGTTTTCCAAGACATGTACATCATGACTCAGTGCATGTGCCATTCAGGCTGAACCCGTGGTCTAGGACACCTAAAGTGAGAGCCCTACGTAGCTTGGTGCTGGGTTCAACTGCCATGAAGCGCTTTCGCAGGATGTATGGAGGCTGGAGTTCTGAATATCCGCAGACGTTCGGATACACGCCCTTGGCATTCCTGCGGTAACTGTGGTGCCAGCACAGAAAACAATCCGTTCGAGAGAGTATATCTACATGTAAAGGTACGTTTCACCGAAAGGATATGGATGTAAAACTCCTACTTTTGGACACCCCCGGCTGTCATTTATCCTCCAGAGCCAACAGCACTGGCTGAGACTTGTTTCTAACCCCCATGTTCCCTTTATTTGAGAATTGGTCACAGACATTGCCGAATCCGCTTCCGTGGTTTTGAAGTAGATTGGTTAAAGCTTCCAGATCGTTGGTGTCAAGTACAATTTGCACTCGCATGTTATGGCGAACAGGGCCGAGGCTTTAAGCTGTCTCTCCCTACTGAAAGCTAATCCAACACATTTTGATTTCTTCAAGCTCAACATTTCTCTCAATTTTACAATGCAACATCTTCAGACATAGCCTCGAAGCCACTCTTTAATCCCCATAGGGCTGAGATTAAATCAGGCTATATCCATACCGGAGCAAGCGCCCAGTAAAGGTGCCTGTCGTAAAACGTATTTGAAATAGGGTGTGACAAATGACGAAAGACCCAAATATGCAGAGAGGCCTGCGCAAAAACACAGCATTCCGCGTTATGAAAAGCGCCAAGGATGTTATGCCATATCGCGGCCTCGCCTCGATGCCGTATGGATTCAGATGCAAAAAGGTGAAGTACGATGCAGTCAAGTCTGCCTGATTTAGAGAAAGCCCCAGTGAGAGATCGACCGCTTGAAACAAGAGTTCCTAGCTCGTTACAATCGTGTGCACCATCAGACAACGAGGAACGTTGTTTGCATCGTTTCGCCACGGCTACGGTACCTAGTATTACCCAGTGCCATCTCCCCGGGTCCCGGGCCGGGGGCATCCCATGCGCCACCTCGACCCCGTGGGGTCCAAACATAGAAGCATACGTCGTTTAACGTTCTTTCCTAATTCCGGTCCTCTTCCTATCTCAATACAGTCTTGCTTACGCCACAGCCATTCAGACTCCTACTTTGGTCGGGGTCGTGCTGCTTTTCGGGAAGTTAGTGAGACATGCTAGACGTCAGGACCGTCTACCTCCCTGAGACTCCAGGAAGAGATTCGGCCCTTTTTATTCTGTCTTTATGTGGCTGGGTGAACTGTTCCCCAGGCTCTGCAGTAAGACCCTTTATACGTGCTCCTGATTCCCATTGGCTTACTGCTAGACTCTCGATGGTTTCTCGGTCCCAGAAATGACGACTTCACCAGTCTTGTGTCTGAGATGTAGAATGCCGTGAGTAGGAAGTTCAGAACTTGGATGCTCATCGCGTTGAGAGGTTGAAATTTGAGACTCAACGTCTTCAACTAACGTGGCTAGAGTGCTATGTGCGACGATGATGCCAAGACATTTTCAGCATCTACATTTCCAGTGCTATGTTTCCCGTTCAAATTGCAAATTGTTCAAGACATGCAGTAGGTTGTGTTCAAATCATGCTGTCTCAATAGATGAGTTAAAGCTCCCTACCTAAGGGTACTAGTCGAAAAGGCATGCCGTTGGTTTGGAAGTAGGGTAGCATGCCATGTCCCGGCTTAGTATGGTCAGGGGTTGAAAATCATCATCGTGAATTTGGATTCGACACCCTAAATACGCCTACTTACTGAGCGAATGGTGGATCATTGGATGGCTGGCCAAATTGCACTCGGCGACGGAGAGGTTTAGATTTCTTCAGGGGGACTCTCCAACTTGAGCTTAACTCAAGATACAGTCAGAAAAGGGTTCGTATATATAATCTGTTGGTCCGCTCCGTCCGGTTTCTGTTTGCGTCAGGCAGGACATCACTCATGAGCCATCAAGAGTTCGACCCTGCAACAACTCTATACCGACAAGTTCCTCTACCTATGGAAGCCTCCATCATGTCCCCGGCATATGTGATCGACCTCCATAATGATTACAATCAGCCAGGAGATCATATCGCAGTCTGGACTTTCTCTAAATCGTGTCTTGATAGTCCAGTTAGCGATGAGCAAGATTTGCTAGGAGTCAAGGTGGACGTTTGGCTTTCCGCTTGTCAAAGAAATCGTACACTTACTATCAAGATTAAGAACGACACCGATCATACTTGTTTGTTGTACCTGGAAGACTGTCTGGGTTTTGACATTTACTGAAGCGGATTCTGTTTAACAGATGGAGTGGAGGTCTCGTCTCCTTCCTGTCTAAAGCTAGATGTTTTACATCTCCATACCGCTCATTATCCCGGAGGTAAGAAACAGACCAGCCACCCTAGTATCGGTGATACAGTCACTATTCCCGAAATCTTACTAAACTGAACGTACCAAAAGACCTGATTCACGGCTCATCAATGATGGATCAGTCCTCCATGATTACCCATGCTGGATCACTTGGAAATGGAATTAGCGGAACCAGCGGGAGCTATTACGCGTCTCTTACTTCGCAGTTCCTCATCGGCATCTTCAACCAAACCATCCACGAGGACTTGAATCTCGAGAACATTGCGAGAGAAACCAGAGCCTGCAAAATGGACTTTGGATTCTGTGCCTCGGTCAGCGGTCCTACGGCTAGCATCCATGTCGATGTTGATGGGAAACCTACAGCGACGTACAACACCACCCAGTCTGACATTGTAGCCTGGCATGCTGCTCAAAAGCGACGGCCGCAAAGTCTCATCATGGCTGAAGTAAATACTGTAGCTGAGAGTTCATACGGGCTGCAATCTCTGATGTGAGAGCTTATTAACCCCTATTGACAAGAACAAGATTTCGCTAACCGCAAGTCTTAGTGACAAGCTACCCGGGCTCGCAAAGCCTATCGACTGGGATGCTCCAGCTGATGGCGGGAAAGCGGCGACAGCTGAATGGATTGGCTCTGTTGAGTGGCCATTTCCCCCCACCTCCCCGAGCACCGTCGCCGCAGTTGCCGCTATTGCGAGTCATTTGATTGCTAGAGGCTACTCCTTGAGCTATGAAGCTTGCGAGAGCGGTAGTGGCGACGGCTGCAGAACTTTCATCATGTTCTCCTTCGGTTCGACTGGCAAAGGAGTCCCCGAGGGATTCGATGCCTCCAAAGATTGGGCGAGCGCTGTGGGGACACTTGATCAGGAAGGCCCGTTTAGTCTAGTCAACATGGGCTTGCTCAGACGAAACCCCGAAGTCATTGAGTCTTGCATGTCAAAGAGACGTTTGTCTCTAGGGGAGTTCAGAGACGCCCTGAATGCTGATGTTGATGCCAGCACAAGTATTACTCACAGATATACTATGCTGTGAGCTATGAAGTTATTGAAGGATGGGCAGCTTGAGAATATGAGTAGTAATTGATAACTCGGTGTCTGGCATCACTGATCACTGGATCTTTTGGGGTCGCTTCGACATCTGCCTGGCTTTGGCAATTTTGCATGCATCTACCTAGCTGATACTCTTCGTACTGCCTAGATAGATGCACCACTTCTGCCGGTGTGACTTGTTGCCACTTTCTATCACCGGAGCTGCCCACCCCCATGCTGAGGTGGGTAAGTGCCGAGCCTGGGTTGATCAAGGGTGCCCTGGCACGCCTGGACAAGAGATTACCCTATATGGCCATCCCGCAACTTAAGGTTTGAGCTCATTATGAATCATCGTATATCAACAGCAGCGAATCCACTGACAATCTCACGATTGCTTTGTCTGAGGTATCAAGATGCCCGTTGAGTCTGATAGCGGCGCGGATGTAGAACTACAAAAGAGCTCTGCAGCGATGCTTGAAGAAGTAGCAAGACAATTGACAGGACCATTCAGCTTCCATACTCTCTTGCGCACCATAAGGTAGCTCAGCCTACCATGAAAGCCTTCCGTTTCCTCGGCCCCAACAAGGGCCTTGCCCTCCAAGATGTCCCCATCCCATCTCCGGGCCCCGAACAGGCCCTCATCCGCGTCAAAGCCGCCGGGCTCTGCCACTCCGACACCCACGTCCTCCACGGCGGCGGCGCAGCGTGGATGTGCGCGCTGCCCGTGACTTTGGGTCATGAGGTTTCTGGCATCATTACTGAGCTAGGCGACTCTTCAACCACATCATTCAAAGTCGGTGACAGGGTAGCTGTTGCCTGTGTAGGCCATCCAATCCAAGAAAGAAATTTCCACGAAGCTCTAGGTGTCGGCTGCGACGGTGGATACGCCGAATATGCTGTCGCTCCCATCAAGAATCTTGTCAAGATTCCAGATCAAGTGGGGTTTGCCGAGGCTGCTGTGGCTACGGATTCCGTTGCTACTGCCTACCACGCCGTCGTCGCGGAGGGTCGAGTATCTGCATCGCACACGGTTGCTGTCATTGGCCTAGGCGGTTTGGGGTTGAACGGACTGGCGATTGCGGCACACCGTGGTGCTAGAGTCTTTGGCGTCGACATCAACACGAACAAGTTTGAACAGGCCAAGGGATTCGGTGCTGTCGACTGTGCCACAGACTTGAGCACGTTCTCAGGCGAAATATTCGATGTTATCTTGGACTTTGCAGGAGCGCAGAAGACGGTTGAGACTGCGATATCCTCGGTGAGGCCTGGCGGGTGTGTGGTGTTAGAGGGCTTGCGGCACAGAGCGTGCAAATTACGACGACGGCGATTGTTACACAGAATGTCTCGCTCAAGGGCTCGACGAGCGCTAGCATTCAAGAGTTTACAGAAGTTTTGGACTTGATCGCATCAGGGTCGATAAAACCGTTCATGAAAGAGATTGTATTCGAGGATGTCGGAAAGGGGCTTGAGCTATTGGGTACTGGAAATGTTGACGGGCGTTTGTACACTGTTCCTTGATGCGGCAACAAGTCTGAAGAGAAAAGCATCATACCTGGCGGGAATTGACATACACAACTTGTATGACTTAGTGAGAATTCACACAGATGCCACCAACGGTCAAAAAGTATGCCTGTATCATTTCCCTTACCCAACTCTCACTTTGGCATCGTGAAGCTCAATGGAGTTTCTCCATTGCGAACACATAGGCTTGCAGGCATTAACTAGGCGCGGTCAATTTCAGGTACTCATGTGCTGCTTCCGGCCCCGGAGGGACAAGTCGGAGAATCGGAGCAGGCCCGAGGAAGGCGGCATAGATGACCGATCATCGGGAGTATCTGAGTCATTAAGACGGGGGCAATGCGGAGCGATCCTTCAAGATCTCAGTCCTTGGGTCCCTGTCACGAGCATGCAAGGTAGCGGTGCACCCTACACAGTAAGTTCGAGTCACCGGCCTGGCATAGGTATAGAGAGTAAAAGCCGGCGATGGCATCGTGCGATGTTAGGGAGCAATGCGGCGTTCTGTCCGCCGCGACTTGGCCTGTTAGTGTAACCTGGGGTTGGCTCCTCACTCGACGTCACTTGATCATGCCACAAAAAGCAATGATAATCCCGTTTACAGCCGCTCGCTGCGCTCAGTCCCTCTCATGGCGGATCAGCCGTTGGGTAAAAAACATGCAAGTCTCCACCCCCAATGTAAGCTTTCCTGCAGGCTTCGGCGACAAACCGGCCAACGCCCCGAGCTTTTTTTGCAGTCGTTCGGTACTTTGCCTGCCGGGAATTGGCTGAGAGTGCGCCAGACTTGTACGGAGCCGCCGTTGGAGGTTGTTATGGTGCAAGTGCGCTGGTAGGATGTTAGAATGATGTCACCCGCCGGGTTTTGTTGTTCCCGTAGAGTCGATGGGATACGTGCGGTTCAAAACGTGGGGTGTGGGGAGAGCAAACTTGGAGGAGGGATGGGTGGGGGTAAAGACGATGCAATGGACCCTCGAAATTAAGAATCTAGATTTAAATCTTACATAAGTACTACCTCTATGACCTCTCCGGAGTTCAACCTCCTCTTTGGACTCTTTCTGCTGATCTTGTGTTCCAGACGTTGCAGCAGCATGATTGTACGACTTTCCATGACAGAAAAGACACAAGACAGTAGACCAAAATGCCAAGTCCAACGGGTTTCCTTGCGAAGTACAGTGCCGCCAACAGGCTCTACAAGGGCTCGCTGCTCAATGCAGTGTGCTTCGTAGCCTCCCTGAGCGTGTTCTTCTTCGGCTACGACCAAGGCAGGTGGAAACCTTTACCATCGCTTGAGTGAAACAAGTTTGATAACGGGTACTACAGGGTTGATGGGCGGCGTTAACACTGCACGGAACTATGCTGAGTTAATGGGATTTGGTCACTGGGACGAGCAGCAAAAGATTGTTGTTGTTGATAAGCCATTGTTGCAGGGCGGGATCGTAAGTATTTATTTAACCGCTTTGAATGCCTTCTGGTCTCACACTTTTTTAGGTTGCCGTTTACTACCTTCCCGGAACGCTCGTGGGATGCCTAATTGGAGGCTGGTTCGGTGATAGATATGGCCGCCTCAAGACTATTGCCGTAGCATGCATCTGGTCTATCTGCACTGCGGCTCTTCAAACCGCTGCCCAAAATGCGGATTGGATGTTTTGTGGTACGTTGGCATAGTCGCCAATCTTTAATCTGACGTTGAGACGCTGACCTGACTGGTGATCCTAGCACGAGTCTTGAATGGTATCGGCACCGGCATGTTGAACGCCATCACTCCAGTCTGGGCAACAGAAGTAGCTTCTCATACATCCAGAGGCAAGTTTGTTGCCATAGAATTCACTCTCAACATCTTTGGTGTTGTTGTTGCATATTGGCTACAATTGTGAGTTTGCTACACCAAGTCAATATTATTGGCACCTAACCCGGTGATAGCGGCACGTCCAAGTACAAGGACCCCAATTCATCCTTCATCTGGAGATTCCCCATCGCCTTCCAGATAATCCCTCTCATCGCTCTGTTCATCATGATTTGGTTCATGCCAGAGTCTCCACGGTGGCTCGTGAAAGTAGGTCGAGAAGAGGAGGCTAGATTCATCTTGGGCAGACTCCGCGGAAACGAAGGTGAAGATGCAAAGGCCGCAGAAGCAGAGCTGCAGGAGATCATCAGCATTAGAAACCTGGAACACGACACCGCCAAACAGCAGAGTTACTTTGCCATGTTTTTCGGGATAGGCTCAGGCAAACTGCACACCGGTCGCCGTGTTCAACTTGTCATCTGGCTTCAAATTCTGCAAGAGTGGGTGGGAATTGCGGGAATCACGATCTACGGTCCCACGATCTTCACGATTGCCGGCATCAGCTCCGCGCAGCGTCTTTGGGTCAGTGGTGTGAACAACATCACCTACATGGTAAGTTTTTACCCATCTCAATGTTATGGTCGGAAAAGCTGACATTATCTAGTTTGCAACCTTGATATGCGTGTTTACTATAGACCGTATCGGACGACGTTGGACCCTGTATTGGGGTGCTGTAGCCCAAGGCATCTGCATGTTTTGTGCCGGAGGCTTGGCAAGAGCAACTCTTAACGCTAATCCTGGCAACCGTTCTGGACTGGGTGGTGCCGCAACCTTCTTCGTATTCTTGTACACCGCGGTCTTCGGTGCAACTTGGTTGACGGTCCCCTGGCTATATCCCGCAGAGATCTTCCCTCTCCAAGTGCGTGCCAAGGGCAATGCATGGGGTGTTGTTGGATGGTCGATAGGAAACGGATGGACGGTGAGTGCACGACAGTTGTCCCTCGTGTTATTGTTTTGTCCCCTGCTGAGACCGTCTCCAGGTGCTTCTTCTCCCTACAATCTTTGAGAAGCTCAACGAAAAGACACTGTATCTTTTCGGTGCGGTCAACTTCGTATCCCTCGTTGTTGTCTGGGCACTTTATCCCGAATCGAATCAACGCACTTTGGAAGAAATGGATCTCGTCTTTGCCAGTGACAGTATCTGGGCATGGGAGGCTGAAAAAGAGTTTGCTAAGCTCAAGGCCGAGAATCCTTCTCTTGTTCACTCAGCACACATGGGTCATGGCGTTGTCGACGCTGAGACGGGTGTGACTCCAAGTAAGGTAGACAATACTCATAAAGAGTAGGCTGCGTTGCTTTGGTATGCGCTCATTTTCAAACATCAAGAAGAGGAGAACGAGGGTTACTGCAGCCCTGCCCTATGGAAGAGCTTTATGATGATACCCGAGTATTTGGGATATCTAGGTCAGTAGCATCACTAGCTACTTACAGACTGTTCACCATGGAAAGTGATACCTACTATCAACTCGAGATTATAGAATTTGAGACTTATTGGGAGCAATGAAGCATTATTACTATTTAATTTAGAGTATCTTTGTCTCGGCTCTTAGCTCTAGCCAGCGCACTTGGTCAGAAACGCCCTCCTGTTCCAATATTACTCTCAACTGGTCTCTGTTCTCCGGAAAGTCTTCCCAGGATTCGTAATGCATTAGCACCAGGACATCCGCTCCAATCTCGCGAAACAGCCGCCCAGCCTCTTTCCCATCCATGGCGACCAGCAAAGGAGGGTCTGATATCGCAACCTCCGCTGAACCAATGTTGAGGATCGCAAATGAGACGTGGTATTTCTCCAATAATACTTTGGGGATCTCCCAGAGGTAGACTGTGTCGCCAGAGATGTAAATGACGTTGGGCAAGCCATTTCTTTCTCGAACCGTGGCTGCTCTCAGCACAAAGCCAATTACTTCACCTTCGGGAAGATGCTGATACGGTATCCCAGTGACCTTAAAGTCCTATTCTTCTATGCGAAGCACCGTAGTTTCACATAGCTTGAGAGCCTTGACACCAGGACGAGGCGCGAGTTTCTGGGCTCCGTCTTGTGTCGTGAGAACCCTGCGGCCGTCAAGAAGGCGCCGACCGAGTTCGTCCAACTTATCGGGTGATCTTCGTGACTTAGAAGCACGGCGTCAATGACGGGGATGTCTTCGAGTTGTGTGGCCGGGCCTTTTGTGTTTTTGAGCACGGTTAGGCCCATATCCCACTCTGTGCCCGCCGGAGAGAAGACGGGATCTGTGAGGAAGTTGATGCCATCTATATGCAATATGGCCGAGGCGGTAGTTATGTGAGTGATGGGAAAAGATCTTTTGAAGGTTGAAGTCATCTTTGCGGTAATTACTGTGGTTTCTGATTGAGGCGGCTAAATCGACGACCGGATGCTGTGCTTTCTAAAAATGAACTGGATGAGAAGATGCCAAGAAATGCGAGTTTGCACAAACTTTTCTACTTGGTTGATATGGATACGGTATTTCAAAGCTTGAGTCATTGTTACCGAATACATTCGCCTGAAAAGATCTGGCTTTGCCATAGCCTATCTGTAGCCTACTTAGGTATCCCATGATTTCGGTCTGACAACCTGACAAATACCTGCTCCGGCCAGCCCGACCAGAAACATCGAAGATGGCGACAACTGAGAGAGCATTTGGGCTGATTTTCAGTAAGTCAAGAGAAATTTCGTATTAGCAAGGGAAATTAAATCAAGAAGCGATTAATTTACGGAGTAAAACGACCGACTTGCTCAACGCTGGCTTTCGGCGGCCCTTCTTGGATTGCCTACTGCTCTGCTCAGCCACAATCAACCAGTCTCTGTGGCTCAGTCGGTAGAGCGTTGGTCTCATATTACATACATATGACGCTAGATTATCTAGGGATATCCAAAGGTCGCAAGTTCGAGCCTTGCCAGGGACATTTCTTTTGCTGTACGGCCCTTTTGCACGATGCTTTCAACAAGACCGTTGTTTTTGCCATGTTCTTCCACAATTATCATGTTGTTTGTTGTGTCTTTGAGTTTTGAGAAAGCTAGCGCCATGTGATTGTTTGACTTGGAGGATCCCTGGCGAGTGACGCGAACACGTGCCAATCGGGACATTTTCGGATCATGCCTTTTTGTTGATGGCCATCGAACCGCAAGGAGTTCTCAGGGGAGCCTGATGAGGTAAGGTGCCTTAGGTAAGGCGGGTGAGCCCCGGATGCCTCCCGCCCCCGCCTGCGACCTTTCCCCTTCCAATGTCACGGTGCGACTGCGACTTGCGACTGCCAAACCCCTCCATCCCTCCACATTTCCTACACCTCCGACACACCTTCGCCTACAAGCAGATCGGTCCATCGTCATTGCCTGGTCTTCCCTAGGTCATTTACGGCTGGCGGTCACAAGGGTTCAGAAAGCGCATATTAAGCCAAGCCTTTGCTGCGTCCAACTTGGGCAGTTTGCCAGTGGCCATCTGATGGACCGACCTGTCACAGCTCGCCCTAAACCATGTCACGGACACCTCCCACACAGACGATGCAGCCAGCGCCTCTAGCTCTGACATAATGCATCGGTTCGCCCTACCCCCCTCTCGCCGACACCGACGGCTCATGGCTGGCGCAGACTGTAGCTGAGAGCCCATATTCCCAGCTATTCTTCGTCCCAGCTGAGACATACGCCTATTACCCCGTACTGCCTACGTCCATTCATCTGCTCTAGGTCGCCTACCCAAGGTGCCGCACCTCCCACCACCATCTTCCACCGTTTCCCGTCAACTAGGAACAGCTGCCTTCGAGACACATCTGCCTTTCAGCCTTGGATCATCAGCCTACCAACCACTTCGTCGCCAAGGCACCAGGAGTACCCTTTTCGAGTCACATTGCTTACCTCGCCGACCAAGTGACCGTCGATTCATTGTCAAGAGGCGAAGGTTGCACACAGAGAGACATATCTATAAAGACTTGTAGGCAGCGCCGAACATCGAAACCATGGCGGCTAAAGACGACGGCAAGAGCCCCGCGGCATTCGCAGACGAGATGCAGAAGCAAACCCGCAAAGAACGTCGCTTCGACGAGGTCGAGGCACAGCTCCCCAACCCAACAGTGCCGACCCTGCAGGCGGCCTTCGCGAGCGCCACTGGCATCCTGTCGCATCTCGGCAGCTACAACCCCTGGGGCAAACCCGTGACCGACGACGACATCGTCTGGCTTCTGGACAACACAGCATACAAGCCCTCCCGTCTAGGCAGCTGGCAAGCCGAGTTCGTTGCCGCGATTTTCGAAAAGGAGCCGAAATGCAAGGTGGTCGATATCGTGCAGGGCGTCGCCGAGAAGCTTGGGCTCTCGGACGATGCAGAGGAGCGCAAGACCATTGAGGAGCGGATCATGCCGTTCCTGTGGGACGTGCAGCCGGCGCGGCACCTCCGTGTCGTGCATCAGAAGAAGGAGCTTAAGCTGGGCCCCTCGGGGTCGAATGGCATCACTACGGATACACTCAAGATCCACGAGCAGCCCACCGGTTCGACGGTCACGTCCAGCGCAGCGGTGCCGCGTGGCGCGACGGGCTTGTTGGAGATGAAGACGTTCTTCGCTGCTCCAGAGGGATGGGCAATCATCTCAGGTACGTCAACATAAGCACCAAGACCTTGCCATGGTGGTTCGCTAACACGGCACTACACAGACATCGACGACACCATCAAATTGACGCAGACGAGCGACCCCATCGGCATCCTCCGCGAGACCTTTGTCAACGAACCGAGACCAATTGAGGGCATGCCAGAGCTGTACCGGAACATCTCAGCACTCTTGCCGCAGGAGTCGCCATGGTTCTACCTCTCGGCTTCCCCATACAACCTGTACCCGTTCCTGAGGGAGTTCCGCGACAAGTACTACCCGCCCGGGTCCATTATTCTCCGCGATTCAAGCTGGAAGACGGTTGCAGGCTTGCTGTCGGCGCTGACCATGGCCACGGAGCAGTACAAGGTGGAGCGCATGAAGAAGGTGCACGACTGGCTTCCGAAGAGGAAGTTCATCCTGATTGGTGACTCCACGCAGTCCGACCCCGAGGCTTATGGTGATATGTGAGTAATTCTATTCCCTTCCTCAAGGCTTTTGAACAGGCATTGATCAACAATCACAGCTACCGCGAATTCAAGGGCTGGATCAAGCTCATCTTGATCCGCAAGGTCACTGACATTGCGGCCATTGGCATCTCCGCAAAGAACGAGCCAGAACGTTTCGAGAAAGCTTTCAAGAACATCCCTCGCGATGACTGGTTCGTCTTTGAGAACCCCGTCGACTGTAACAAGATTGTTCGCGACACCATTGCTCAAGGCTGAAGAAATGAAGCAACAAGCTTTTCCGGAACATGGGATAAATTGAACCGTATGAAACAGAACAACAGGGGGGAATACATGGAAAGCCACGAACCGGAGTTTCTGGCGCAGGGAAACATTCTCTTTTTCCGTATGGTTTGAACACGACCGTCACGACTTGGGGCCTCGAGAAGATATGTAGCGATCCTAATACAACATTTTAACATGATTAGCTCTTCCTCCCTGTCGAGAACGATGTCTCTTCCTTAGTATCGCCTCTTTCGACCCCAATCGACTTCCCCCATTCCCTCCACCCTGACTTTACCTGTATCTTATCCAGATTTTCGTTGACCAAGCACGATCTGGTACCATACGCCACCTGTGCCTTTCTTCATTTAACCAGCAGGCCGGGGGATTAGAGAGCGCAGTGCCTACCTACCTATTTGTGCTTGGAAGAAGTCACGTCCGCCCTCCTAGATAGGTGGATTTACCCGGTACCGCTGCTGCCTTCCGTACATCCTTGAACGAGAAACTTGCTGCATATTAGGATGGGACAAGTGTCTTTGGGGCAGACTCTTCCATGGGTACTTCACCTATCCATTCCCCCACCCAGAGAGCTTGCGTATCTCGGTCGCATTCATCCAACAACTAGGGTCATGATACATATCTGTTCTGAACTCGAATTTTACCCAAGGGAAAGCGTTGTTAAGTATTCTATCTCTTCCCTACTTGCCTTCCAAAGCTTTTGAGTAGGTGTAATACGTTCTGTATCTTGAGGGCCCTGCAGAAAACGAAAGCATGCCAAGTTTCCACTCATTGAAGACGGATGTTGTGGACGAAGGACCACTTGCTCGCATTGATCGAGGTGAGGCCGAGCCTTCAGCTATAGTTGGTCAGTATTTTGTCATTCATATGAGGCAGCACACGTAAGCTTGAGAGACTGAAGGGGACGCTTTCAGGAGATGATAGCAAGGCAGGTTGGGAGGGGGGACTTGAGTTGCCTTTCTTTCTGTTGTAATTAAGGCGTAATTGCTGGCCGGCAATTACGGTTCCGTTTTTGTACGACACTTTCCAATGTTGCGGGCGAGGACTTTCCTCCAAAGAAAGGCAGAAGTCGGCTCTTCCGTCAAGACAGAATCTACCCCTTGCCGCATCAGCCCGTGGGCAGTCCCGACAAGGAGGAAGCAGCAAGTGGTATTTCCTGCTACAGAGAGCCACCATCTTTAGAAGAACTCACTTCCCTCCATTGACATGACCCACCGTTTGCAATGGCCTCCTACGCCTCCCACCTCCGCAACTTCATTTCTCTTCCTGAACACATTCAACACCACGAACACCAACTTTGACTTTTTGGTCCAGCAACACTACTTCATTCGTTGTACATATGTCAGAAAACAGAGAGCCTCTTACTATCCGACAAACTCAACATCCGTTCTCTATCTTGTTCTGCGCCGATTTGTCCTTCCCACTTGGGCCCGAATACATCACCGCTTTTCGTCATGTCGATCAACAGTAACTCACCCCCGCCTGTTTACGAACTCCGAGATATGCAGCCAGCAAACCCAGGCGTACCTATAGCCTTGGGCGCACCTGCAGTACCAGACGTACCTGAAGTACCGGGCCCAATCGCAGCTTGGACACCGAGCGCCAAGAAATACATAGCGCTTACCTAGGTCCTCGGCGGTCTCTGGTTTCTCTTTTCGGTAATACTTTTTTCATGCGATGCCGCTGTGATCTTCTACAGCTACGCCAAGGGCATCCACAACAGTACAGAGTTCTTCTTCTATAGATTAGTCGGCGCTCTTTTCGATGGATTCCTCGCCGCAAACACGATGTACGATTTGCTTCGACAGCGCAATGGTACTTTCAAGCATAGTCTTTTGTGCATATCCTGGACCCATTTCTTCGCGACCAGTACCATCAACCTGCTTATCGTTGTGGTTTGCCTCGGCAGCTTCAGGTCTCACGATCTCAGAAGCGACTGCTGGGTGATAGCCTCTCATTGCAACACATTGGCGGCGTCCCTCATCTCCATTCTGCCACTTTATCGGACTCTTTTCAAGAGTGAACCCGGCCGCTGCGAGTGCATGAATGGTGTGCAGGCTCCTGGCGATGTTGTATGATTGCGGTTGGGCAAATCTGGACGGGCACGCCGCACAAAGCTGAGCCCTGACAAGGCAATGGCGTGAGTGCGATCTCAACAATCATATCCTGCAACACCATCATCAGGTGTGGTTTCATGAGGGCTGACGCATTTGAAATCAGATCATGACAATCTTGCAGTGCTCTCTGGAGTAATGGCTCGAGCGAAAGTCGAAGCAGAAGAATAAAGAGATATGGCAGCGGACGGCTCTCAGGGCAATGGATGGGAGTAGCCTACACAAACAGCGAGAGCATGAGTTAGTATTTGGGTGGAAACGATATGTAAGGTAGCGTTCAGGCACTTGAATAGCAATACAAACGACAAAGTCTGTCTGTTGAGAAAGCTTGGCCACTCTGGGCTGGAGTCTTGAATCTTCCCTGATGCATGTCATGAAGCTGCCTGCCTGACGAAACGTCACGCTCTCAGAGGACCAAAATTGATCGCGATTGGGTAGAATGCCTTGAACGCATAGCAATTGAACGAGCAGTATCTTTTTAATTTCTTTTCAGAGAGGTAAATAATATCATAAATAAGATACCGAAGCTCAAATACAAGGCTTATTCAGAAGACCACTGGGCTTGACGCAGAAGAGGGTGCACTCCCCGACCTCAATCTGGTGCTGCTCGGGGCCGACCCACTGCTGGCAGTCGTACCACTCGGACCAGTCCTTCTTGTCGGTCCAGGCACCCGGGCCGGCGCCCTTGCGGACGCAGTTGCGGCCGTCCACGTTGATGATTTGGTTCAGGATAACATTTTGGCGGTGGTTGTTGTATTGGTCTTTCGTGCAGGTGTGTCCTGCGAAGGAGGAGCAGCAGATGTTGATTGCGTGGGAGGTTCCTGCGGCGGCGAGGAGGAGGAGAGGGGTTATTGAGGGGAGCATTTTGGCGGTTTCGAGGGTTCTGGTGATGGTGATGGGCGGGATGTTGACACTTGTGAGGAGAAAAGTCTTGGTATTGAGGTAATTATCTACGCCATTCTTGGATAATGATGAAGCTTTATATCCTTAGACGATTAACTCTAGGGGTCCGCCTCTCGCAATTTCACGACATAGTCGCCATTGTATCCGAAGAGCCGTACAAGCTTTTCTTCAAGGACTCGTGGAACCGCTTAGGTCCAAGCTTTCAATCTAGTACGCTTTTATGGGATTCCGTATAATCTCGGGTCTCGGTCGTGTAGTTTGCGGCATCTCGGCGAAGGGGCAGAGAAATGATCTAGACGTGCAATAAAAAGGCTAATTGATTGGATACGAGGGAGCGCAGGCCAGAAACAGGCAGGAGTCGTCGCGAGGAAAGCTTAACTTGGAAGACTAGAAAGCTTATGAGAAGTCCGTGCTCTACTGGGTTGACCTTTGCTTTGCTTGCAAATGATGGTGACTTATTTCCTTCACTCCATAAGTACATCTAAATCGCGCAAGATGCTCTGAAGCGCTCGGTCAGAAGATAGCGGTCGTTGGTAGCGACGTTCGAGCAGTCTCAGTGCACGGCAAGATGACTGGCAGCGAGATCATGCAGAAGACATTGGTAGCAGCTCCTCAAGAGCTAGAGATAACGATGAGGTCGTTGCTATAGAATCTGATTGGTCGGGTCTGGTTTTGATAGGGAATGTGTGCTCTCATTCTGATTACTCCTTTCGGACATCGTCAGAAAGCGGAAAATAGCACTACTGCAACTCGGCCGCTTAAAGCATGCCGATCTCCGGAGCAGGAACCGCGGCCAACACCGCTGCGGGGAAAGTGCGACAAGGTGCCCCGATCCTTGTCCGGAGGGGCCTTGGGGCTCAACAATGAGGGACGAACTCCCCGCACTTCGGCCTGAACAAGCTTCTGATCCTAGCAACACGAGAGTGATATGTCCGAGATAAGGGAGCGGCTTGATGCTTGACAGCATTCATGGCTCGAAAGAAACGAGATTATGTTCCAAAAGTCAAGGGTATGTCTGCATCCCCATTCGAGACGGACTCCAGCGTTGAAGGAAGGGCAAAGTAATTGATGAGTTCCATTGTGGATAATAGGGTGCTACGAATGCTCCCAACGTCGAATCGACTGCGATGGCACGCGTCCGAGCTGCGCAAAGTGTAGAAACCGTGGGATCACATGCAGCGGCTTCGTTCTGAAGTACAAGTTCTTGGATGGCTTCTCATCACGACAAAGGTCCACTTCTGGTGGTCGAAGTGCGTTGCTGAAGCATTCCCTTGCCCAGACATCGGCGCCTGGTCCCGCGAGAGACAAGTCAAAAGTGCTTGAACCGTTTCGGGACTCACAAGCTTGGGACGACGTGTACTGGAACAGCTCGGCTCGTACTTACGGTGATGGGGGCGAGTGGCCTAGTCAGGGTGGTGGTTCGGAAAGAGATCTAAGATGCGATGTCTCCAACAGTAAGGATCATGCCGATGACAAAGAGGAACTATCTTCGGTTATCATCGACGACCTATGCATCATATCGCAAATTTCCCGGCCAAATGCCGACGGTGTCTCTGCAGAGCCACTATCGCCAGTCAACCTCAGCGTGCTAGAGCCGTGGAAAGAGTTTCTACTCACCCATTGTAAGTTCAAGGTTCACTGTCGTTATCATCAACCTTTCATTCTCTACAACCCTCTTTGAGTTTTGGCTGTTAATATGATTCAGTTTCAGAAGCCATCGCCCCCGAGATGGTTGTAGTGGATGACATCAATAACGGCTGGCGACGTTTGATCCTACCAATAGCATGGTCAAACACAATGGTAATGGACGCCGTTCTTGCCGTGTCGGCATTCCATCTTTCGGGCAGGGCGATCCTACAGCCCGTAGTCAATCCGGACAGGCTCTATGCCTTAGCAATCAGTCAGCTGCTTAACCGCAAGGACCTGGCTGATCGAAGTGATGAGCCCAAACAACTCGTCGTTCTGGCCATTGTTGTGCTTCTGGTTTCTGTCATGGTCAATGGTATGCCAGACTTTCCAATTGTCTTCCAAATGCTGGAGTCCGCCGTAACGGCTATTGGAGGTGATGCGGCCCTCACAGATGGAGGGGAGATGGGCAGCTTTCTTTTGAGGCAGATTCGCAAGTAAGTTATTGCCTTCGTATTCATGTTCTGTTGGCTAGATCTCTTGCTCATAAATGCTAGAATGCGAGTCTACGCTGCACCTCTGGTCAGTCAAGATGCCGGAAAGAACGCAATTTTGTACCATGCGCGGGAGAGTTTCGACTGTCTCTACTACTACTACAATTTGTATCCCGATCATTGTCCAACGTTTGACCTTATCGCCGATATCCGCCAGCAAGCCTTCAACATGTACCTCTGTCGAGTGTTGACAAACGACAACGAAGCCCCTTTACTCCCCTCATGTATCGATGCTATCGAGACGTTCCAACGGAGCCTGCAGGCTTTCCCAGAAGGCGCACTAGGGGAACACATACTTGTCTGGCCAACGTTCATCGCAGCGCTCGAGTGTCATACCCTTGAGCAGCGCCTATACTTTGAACAGTTTCTACTAAGGCAGTATAATCGTAACAACTTCTTGAACATCCCGAAGGCTTTGGAGTTTCTGAGAGGTATTCGGTTGCAGGATACTCTTCAGTCAGACTGGCCTGCACTTATTCCGAGACTTCGGGTTTTCATCATGTAGAAAAGCCTCAAGCTCAAGGAGCCGCGGGCGGGTTTTCAAATTGAAAATATCAACTATTAGTCATACCTCTAGATTTGATGCAGCGCCTGAGGTTTTTCTGCTTGAGGACTTGGGATGGCGACATGCAGTGTTGCCCACAAAGAAATAACCATATGTTGGTTGAGAAAAGAATGCGTCCTTTACGAGTAAAGATACATGATAGTTTCTCCAGGAAGAAAAAAGGCTCGTACCTATCATATGACACGTCCAAATTCTGTGGAGACATCCCTCGCTGTTATTGTCAAGTAAGATTCTCTAAGTGTATATCACTAATTGTCATAAAGAAAGCAAAGGCCGTTTTCCACAAAGCCGAATCTTCACAGAACTTATCAATAACTTTTCTATTCTTGGTTCAGCAATAATACTATCTGAAGCATGTGTGTACCTCCCAATACAGTTCTGAACAAGATAAACTGTATGTGGGAAACATCATGCGATAAACTTGACATATGCCGAACTACCAGACAGACCCGGACAAATCCTTTCCGTCGGCGTGGAAAACCAAGGAGGCACCCTCGCCGGCGTCAATGCCCTCGATCGGGGTACCAGGCTCGACCGTCGAGGCGCAGATGCCGATGCAGGTGGCAGCGCAGAGAGGGTTAGCCTGCGACATGCAGAACAAAATGCAGGCCGCTGAGCACTCAGGCTACAGGTGCTTTCTCGTTAGTGTACCAATATCAGGAAGTAGGAGATGGGCACCATCGTGTGGCTTTGCATAAAACGTACAAACATGATGGTCTAAAGAAGATAGTGTCAGCAATCTTCATCGAAGTTGTCATAGAAGGCATGATAGACCACAGGTCGGTAAAAAGCATAAGACAGACGCCAACTTACCCTTTCAGCAATCGAGACAGCGGCAACTTCGACCGGGGCAGGAGCCGCAGTGGCAAAAGCCAGGAGAGAGGAGATCAGGGCAATAGAGAACTGCATGATGAACTGTAGTAGAAGATACCGGAGAACAAAAAGCACAGCGGTCAAGTTGAAGGTGCGAGTTTTCGATGAGATTTAAATTTGTGTTGTTACTGTTGCAATGGGAAGAGAGTCAAGAATGACTGACAGCCTGGGTTGAACGAAAGCCTTTATACGAAACCTCGTCCTCTTTTCGAACCTATGACACCAGTCCGAACTGGCAGCTGAGTGCTACTGTCCGTTGTGAACCTCGTTCGACAAATTCTCGGACTTTCGCATGATGCACGTCGATGTCCGAGATAGGTCCCCTGCCCAGACGAGCCTCTCGAAACGGATGGTATCGTGCAAGGCCCTATGGATCCAGCTGCATTGTGATTCAACACACCAACCGGAACAGTACAGCAATAATCAGTCGATGTTCCTACAAGAGGTGAAGGTTGTTGGTTTGATGCCGCAGTCTGTGTGGGCTTCTTGGCGAATGACATTACTCGTCGACCCTACGATGCCACATTGGCACAGCTTCTGCGCTCCTAAGCACACTCTGGCCCTCACATGCCCAGCCTCCAGAAGCGCCGCTGGTGAAAATTAAAGCTCAACATATGGTTCATTTCAACTATTAGTATGCTTGAGCGGAGCTTGAAAGGTGCCCATTGTTGCTTACACGTAGTATTTAAAGAGCATGACATTTCAAAGTCACATGAACTCATTGGGAACTTCCGATCAGCCATTTAGAAAAGCATTCAACCTTTCGGCTGCATATGGCTCAGCGTAAGAAGTCCGTCAGGTAACAAGGATTACAGGCAAATGCAATTTGGAAAACTCCTGGAGCTAATCTGCCAGGCAGCAATTCAGGGGTAAGTATCCGTACTTACTGAAGAAAGGCTCGTGTTGCCAAGCATTGAACATCACGATAGGGTGGGTGCACACACGCATTCTTTGATCCTATGCAGGGAAAAGAACTCAATAAAGTCCCAATAACGCTAGGCATCAGAAGAGGAAGGACATTGACCTCAACGGATTCGATGAAAGGTACTACAGGCATATCATACGTACTTTACCTAGGTACCTGCAGCGCTTAGCAAACATCAGTACTGTAGATACATCACAGCATGCATGTACGTCCGGAATTGCGCGGTCACAAGAACACTTCCATTTCCTGTTGCTGCCCGAGACATGTTTTCATCACAGGTATCTCCCCCATCTCACTAGAGGTTTATTCATTTTCGATCGGAGAGTCAATCACAATCCCGGTTGAAGATATTTATTCTCCAACCTGGGACACAGCAAGGGGTTTTACCTTCGTCACATCTCATGAACCTCGCGTCGGGCACAATGCGCAGTTTTAATTTTGTGGAACGAACGGATTGGTAGCAAGACAATGCCTCAACTCATCGTAGTGTCCATTTCCTATGCCTGGAATGAAGTCTCTTTTCCGAAGGCATATCTCCGAAGGCAGTGTCTCGAGTTTCTTAAGCTCGGTTTGCAGGGTGTCAGCGTCATATCGGCTTCGGCAGACTGCGGTCCGGCGGGAACAGGATGTTCTTGTCTTGACCCTTCTACTGGCCAAGCATTGGGCCCGCTGTCGACATATGGCAATTTCAACCCCGTAGTGCCAGCTTCGTGCCCATACGTTACCTCTGTCGGTGGTACGCAAATTCGCGCAAATGGCTCTGTCTACGATTCCGAGGTTGTCTTTCGTCATTCCAGTGCCACACATATCAGCTCTTCTGGGGGCGGGTTTAGCAATCTCTTTGACGCACCAGAATATCAGAAGGGCGCAATTGATCATTACTTGCAACGCCCAGATATCAATGAGCGCTTGCAGAACTTGACGGGGAAGTTCAATCCACTGGGACGTGGGGTCCCCGATGTATCATCCAACGCGGCTAATTTCGTTGCCGCCATCAACGGCCAATTGATTACTGTCTTTGGGACCTCCGCATCAGCGCCAGTTTTTGCTTCTATTCTCACGAAGATCAACGATGCGCGCCTACATGTCGGGAAGAAACCCGTAGGCTTTGTCAATCCGGTTCTCTATTCTCATGCAACAGTCATGACAGATATTGTGGAGGGCTCGAACTATGGCTGTGGTGTTGAAGGATTCCACGCGGGACCAGGCTGGGACCCGGTCACCGGTTTGGGAACGCCTGAATACAAGAAACTCCTCACTTTGTACTTAGATTTACCTTGAATAAATACAGGACAAAGCTCATACTAGCATTGTGGTTGTGAGCCACAACCAAAGTCATGTGTTCGCAGTCCTGACACCTCCACACTCGCAGACATAAGCCATCAAGTCTATTGTTTCACAAAATACTCAAGGTTCTCGCTCCCTATGTCCAAGTTGTGTGGAGCACAATTTTCAGTTCATGTGCTTGTGGCTGGGAGAAATGCATCAAACTTTTCCAGCAAGTCGGCGTGGCCGTTAAATAGAACCTCCAGCTTGCTGCGTGCCGCTGCCTGCTTCTCTGCCCGAGCAGCTTCCCACTCTTCTATCGAATCCCCGGGCGGAAGGTTTATCTCCTGTAAAATTTCAAGGAAAGTGGAATATTTCTCTGGCTGGCTAGCCTCGAACCGGTTCTGAAAAGTAACACAAGTTAGTGTATAGGTTGTCATCGATTAAAAGGGGCCTGACCTACCCGCACTTCCTGGACAAAGCCAAGCGACTTGTTGAATTCAGTTTGGTCAAACACAAAAGGTGTTGGGTCGTTGGATTGATTTGGAATGCTGGGGGAGTCAGCTGTCGAATCTTTGGACTCCATGTTTTAAAATGTTCCTCGAAAGAGGGAGTTCGCGAAAGACCGGATGAGAATCCAAGTTGACCTTGCGCATCAAAGTTTGCTGGCGTCATAAACCTGACCTGGAGTTGGGGAGCTCTCATTCATATACCCCCAACGAACTGAACGGGGGAGTTTTGGACGCTTTGAGAGGGGCTCGTGTTGTCCAGTTGCAGAAGGGCTAGGCATAGAGGAACCATTGCCGCCATTTAGTGATGAACTCAACAGGGGCTAAGGTCTTGGCCCCTCTGCCCACGCCAAGGCTGTTGGTCATGGTGGTTTGGTCTCGTTGGTCGGATGCCGAAAATATCTCGGTGTCCGATTTGAAGCATGTCGCAGCCTAAATTACACATGCTGTGCCGCAACTTCGCAACTGACTGCCCAGGCGCGAAAATTATGGTGAGACCACAGTACAAAAGGTCCTTTTGGTGGGTCCACGACGTGGCATTGTGCGCCTACTGCGGAGTAGACTTTGCATGATCACACATCGTATCACCATTTAGCTCAAGGCCCATAAACGACCGCTGAGGCTTTAATTCCTTAGAAATGGGTTTATGGGTTTTACTGATTAAGTTTATCCATTATCCTGTAAGATAAGGTAGGCAATGCAAGACGTGTCGATGTGAAACCCTTGAATTTGGATATATTCGGTTCTCTACACTATCAAATCCAGTTTTCGTAACCATGGTCTTTCTGTTTGAAGTTTTCTGAGTCAAAGACTTGCCCGAGGCGCACGTTGGAGGGCCTCAAGAACCTCCTTGGCTCCTTGCTCCCCTGAACATAGCGCCCCTTCCATGTAACCCTTCCACTCGGTCGAGTACTCTGTGCCAACGAAATGAAGATTGCCAACCGGTTTTCCGTACACATCAGCGTACTCTGTGAAGTGGCCAATCTCAGTGATGGGTGCAAGCGCTCCCTGGCTGAACTGCTCGTGCTTCCATATCTGATCAAAGACTTCGATAGGACGAAACGCTTCCGAGTCAACGTCGACGTTGAAAACCTCGGCTACCTGCTTTATAACAAGTTGACGACGCTCGTGGGGGTACAGCTTTGACCAATCTTCCCCAAATTTGCCGTTGACGAAACAGGTGAGAGCAAAGCTCTGGGTCTCGTCGACACTGGTGTCGCGTGCTACACAGACAGGTCCCTTGTAGCTCATGAAGAAACCATTGAATCCAAGATCTCTCCACCAAGGTCTGTCATAGTACAAGATCGCTTTGTTGTAGTGTCCAAGCTTTGACGAGTCGGTGACCTCCCGGACCCTTTGAGGCAATAATGGTGAGATGTTGAGATCGCGAAGCATAGCGCTTGGCACAGAGATGATGGCCTTTCTTCCTAAGAAACGCTGGTTTCTAGACGTGATGACAACAACGTGGGTTTGATGATTCTCAATTGCAGCGACAGGGGCCGAAAGATGGATGTTGCTTTCTCCGATCAAGTTGGCAATGCCATTTGCGATCTGTTGCGTGCCTGATGAAGAGGATTTGAAGTGAGCAAAGTAAAAAAAAAGCCTGCGGAGAGTGGAGCTTACCGCCGTGAAAGCGCTGATAGTTGCCCCCCGTCTGATCATCAGCACGAATCGAGAATAGGCCCCCATTGCGTCGGCAATAGTCAATGAAGAAAGCTGCTGACTCTTGGCTGGAATCAACTCCATGCATCACTCTAGCCCATAGGTTGATCATCTCCACCGTCTTTGGAAGAGCACCAAGACTTCGCACATATTGGTCAAGAGATACCCCGTCGTCCTCTCTCCTAGGAGCTTCGCGCTTCAAAGAGACGGCTTGGATATGGTCGCGAATCTTCTCGAGGTTCTCCTTTTCCTCAACAGAAAACTGAACAGACGAGAGTGAGCTCTGAAATATGGTATACACAAATACACTAACGAAGTTGGAGAGATTTTACTTACCTCGGGTATAATGCCGAACGGAAACTCGACCCTACTGCTGTCGGCCAGCTGCATGACGGCAGTACCTTTGAGTCTCTGCGATACTGTCGGTAGTTTGAATTTCTTGACATATTCCGCCATACGACTTTGCGTATTCTCGTTTATCCAGGCAGCACCCAGATCAGCGACGCCTCGTCCAGAGGCCAGCGGCACGCTCCACGTTTTGCCGCCCACACGATCTCGAGCTTCGACGACTGCGACTGAAAGCCGAGCTTGTCGAGCGGAATAGGCAGCTTGAAGGCCGCTGAGACCTGCTCCAACAATGACGACGTCAAACATAGTATGTGTGTAGGTAGCAACTCAGGTTTCAGAACAGATTGGTTTAGTGCCAGATGGTTAGGATGTTGGGTCGTGAGGGGCTTGGACTCGTTCCAGATGATGCACAGCTCTGAAATGCATCTTGCACAAAGCTGCATACTTATATATCTTCTGCTCACGTCCCGGGTCCAAATGTCTAGACAAATCATGTGCGCTCACTCGAAACGATATAGCTAATTTGTGTTGAAACTTGGCAATATGCTCTCCTTGCCGAGCATTGTCAACTTTCTTCCCCATTGAGTAAATCGAATGAGAAACCAAAAGAGCATCTGCAAAGACCTGTCCCGGCTCAGGTCGTGAAAGTCAGAAAAGGTCCCCACTGCCGCTCTTGGGGCTGACGTAGATGAAAGTCAAAGTAAGGTAGGTCATGACCTTTTACCCAATGTGGTAAACAAAAAGAGAGGACTACCTTGTTGATAGGCCGGTCTACTCTTGCTACCCCTTGCTGCATGGTATTTCCCCGCACCCGGTGATCGTCGACTTCCCCCGAGATCGGGGCAAAGAATCGGGGTTCCACATCCTCGGGAGGCCCGTCGGACAAGCTCACAAGCGCATATCAAAGGAATTCGAAGGCGTATTTGAGCCTGTTTCGCTATAAATTGCTTTCCAGCCTGTTTATGTCACATAGATCCGCGGAGCTTCACCATCCCGCGGCTTGTGCTTTCCTTCAGCCACCCTTTTGTTGTGAACAGCGTAGAGTACAACCTGGAGAACTGCGAATGCCATTCCCACTGATACCATGATAATCTGTGTTCTCAGACCCGTTTGGTAACTATGATAGATCAGCGATGATCACTGAACAGCCTTGTACTGCCGCAGTGCTGGGAGCTTGAAGTACTCACAATGGGGCATCATTCCCTCGATAATACTGCGTTCCGACCATCAACCCACTGATGGAGAGCATCACCCACATCCTATTCAATATTAGCGTGCCTGAGTTGGGAGCTAGGTCTAAGCAAAATGGCAACCTACGCAATACTAATACTTCTTTCGCCTGGTTCTCTACAGTTGAGTTGCACCCATGAGTTGTTGACAGGGTGATACCCAACCGCGAAGCTGTTCACAGCCGTCCAAAGCCCCCAGCGTGACCACTTGCCCACATGAGGGTGTGCCGTGCGCGCAACGACCAAGACAATCAGATAACAAAACTGAGCTCCTATTACTGAGAATCCACGCTTATTGGTCTTGTCACTGATATAGGCAAAAACGAAGACGACGACCAAAGCGAGTGACGCGCCCACTGCAGCAAGAGCATTGGCCTGGATGCGGTTGAAGCCGAGATTCCTGATCCAACGTGTAAGTCATGGTACAAAAGAAAAAGAAAAACGAAAGCTTTTGAGCAATCCTGAATCATTTTGTCCAACACTCACATAATGATGGTAGGCGTGTAAGTGGTAAGAGGGCTCCAGGTGGAGAAGACGGCAAAGCTGCTCAGAAAATGTGGCCAGCGTTTCCAGTGCAGAATAGTCTTCCATACGAGCTTTGGAGGAATTCGCATTCCTTGAGCGCCGCCACGCTTCTCTTTGTCCTCTACCTCTAGGCGCCTTTGTATGATACTCTTCTCTGAGCCTTTGAATCGGATGAGACCTGGGCTCAACAGCGGATCGGGGGTGTCTGGGGAACCGGGCAGAAGGAACAGTAGCGAAAGCCCAACAAAGATAGTAAACACGCCCTCAACTAGTCTTGATCAGTAAGCTTGAACCATAGATAGAAGTATCGCTGAGGAACCTACCTAGGAAAAGCCACTGCCAGCCACGCAGCCCACGTTCGCCTTCGAGCTTGAGGATGCCAGATGCCAGTATAGGGCTCAAAGCGTTTCCGCTAAACATTCCGAAGAAGCTTTAGAGGGTCAGAATAGATAAAATTTGCTCACTCCAATGTCACTGACAAGATTGCGATGCGTTTGGCTAGTTCTTTCTTCGTGTACCAAGTTGAAAGGGTGTAGCAGGCTCCTGGAATGTAGCCCGCCTCCGCAAGACCAAGCATCATACGCGAAGCCAAGAAACCCTTGCGGTCGACTAGAAATACTTGCATAGTTGCGACGAAACCGAATAGAATTACTTGGCTAGAGATGTACTTGCGCGGCCCAATCTGATTTTCAATCTGTCAGCACCGTGGTCTCTGAAGGAACATAAGAATCATATGTATCAGTACCTAGACCACACTTACCTTTTGCAAGAGCATATTTGAGGGAATTTCTAAGATGACGATTCCCAGGAACATCAACTGATTTCCCAAATTAATTGTGTCCTGATTTACCCCGATGTCATTCGCAAATCCGCCGGTGAGCGCACTTGCAAGATTCATGCGGTCAAGTTGGAAAACAAGCAGGCCCAAGTACAATAGTGGAAGCACCGAGCTATCGATTCTACAGCAGAAATGTCAGCAAACCTTTGTCGGCGAGTCCTCTTCCTGCCATGTGTCAACTTACTTTCGACGAGCTCGTATTTCCTCATGATGCGTCCAGTCAGGCTCTATACCTGGTGTCACTTGCCCTGGCGAGTCAATAGACTGCAGGCTTTCCTGCTTCGACTCACTCATTTTATCGTGTGCATAAGGTGGCAGGATGACTGAAACCTGAAGCTGTTGTCTCTTCTCCCTGCGAAAGGGGTCTGGTCATATTTTCAAAGGCAGATACTTCTCATCGAACCTCTCATTTCGGCATTTGGAGCTCAGAGGCTATCCTTCACGCCATCTTTAGCTTTACGGAACCCCAGGCATATTGAGACTTCGTGTACGAGTGTTACTCCAATCCATCCTTGCATTTCAAAGACCCATTCCGGTGCCATAGTCTTGGGAACGTCACGCAATCGCCCCCAAACCACAGTCTAAGGATGTGCCATGCCGGCAAACTCACTTTGATTCAGTTAGACATCCCGACCGATGGCTGGATGTTGTCGAAGCTTCCCCACTTTTGGTCTGCAGTCTAATGGCTATGACTGCCATCCTACCGAGCACGCAATCTTTCACCATCGCGCCAAGACAAACCCCGAGCTATTTATTCAGTACTTACTGTTATCGGGATTTGAACTTTTAAATGGTGGAAGATAAAGGTAGACAGCGTGAGTCTACAATTTTGACGTGAGATAAGCCCTCTGAAAATCTCATTGAACATGAAAAGTTCCGTTTCTCGTCCTTGGCCTTTTGTGTTTGCTTGTTTGCTTGAATGTTTGGTTCTCCAACATCGGATCCAATCTGCAAAGCTAAAGGCCGTTTGTGTCGTTTATCGGCCAGTGCCCACTTCTACGTAGACAGCAACATTAATAGAAAACAATACGTACAGAGAGGTGGCGGCGACCGACAGAGTAGGGGTTCTGCGGAGTGTGCCATCGATCTACTAGTCCAAGTTTGTAGGATTGAATCCCGGCGAAAAGCTCTGTGTGGGGCTACGGTTCATGGCGAATCCCTCCGATTACCGCTTCACCACTCCTCTTCAATCATAAGACGCCAGGAAAACAGTCTTTGAGTGTCTTTTGGACAAACCTCTGACCATACAGCCACCCAGAACCACCGCTGCAAGTTTATAAAGATGGCGAAAGAAGGGAAGCCCGCCAAGCGCATTGCAGTCATCGGCCTTGGTCCAGCCGGTGCCATCACGATCGATGCTCTTGCCAAAGAGCAGGCATTTGACATTATCCGGGTTTTTGAGCGTCGTGAGGCTCCTGGCGGATGCTGGTGAGTCGAAATAAATCTTTACGTGAGGACTGGATGGAGAATATGGAGCCCTTCAAACATAGTCCATCACAGACCGAGTAGTCACCCGTGTTAACAATATCTACAGGCTAGGTGAAGGGAAACCACCGCCGCTCATTCAATCAGATGAGCTCAAACTTCTCTCCTCCCGAACGGCAGACCTCCAGCTGCCAACAATTCCTTCCAACCTCCCTGCTCAACTGCCTAAGTCGAGCTCCCCGCGGTATTCTGAATCCACAGTCTACCCATACCTTGAAACGAACGTAGACTTCGTCCCTATGCAGTATACTCAAGAACCGTTTCCTACTGAGCAATCCGAACACTCAAGATCACTCCACGGAGAAGACACGCCTTTCAGACACTGGTCCCTAGTTCAGGACTACGTCCGTTCTCTGGTCGACCGAAGGGGCTACGGTGACTTCATCAGCTACAATACTACCGTGGAGCGAGCTGAGAAGGTGCCTGCAGCAAGCGGCTTCGGTGAGGAGTGGAAGTTGACGTTACGCAAAGATGGTGAGAACACTGATTACTGGTGGGAGGAGAGATTCGATGCCGTCATTGTCGCATCCGGGCATTACAGTGTGCCCTATATCCCATCCATTGACGGCCTGCCCGAGTTTTCTAGAGATCGTCCGGGAAGTGTGATTCACAGCAAGCACTTCCGAGGTCGGGACGCATTCAAGGGCAAAAAGGTCGTGGTAGTCGGAGCCTCTGTCTCAGCAGGAGACACTGCATTTGATTTGACCTCTGTGGCTCAAGCACCTGTATACGCTGTGGTGAAGGGACATACGTTCAACGGGTACTTTGGCGATGAGGCTTTCAACCACCCCCTGATCAAGCGGGTCACCTCCATATCTCACATCGAACCGACCACTCGGACTGTTCACTTCGTAGATGGAACGTCTGCTCCTGGTGTAGACGACATCATTTTCGGCACGGGTTATAGTTGGACACTTCCTTTCTTCACGCCGCAGTCCTCCACCTCTTCGACCACGGCCAAGCACACACCAGTTCCTACCCCTCGCAACAACCGCATCCCGAATCTCTATCTCCACACAATTTACACGCCAGATCCCACGATTTTCTTCGTCGGTGCCGTCAACGCAGGCCTCACGTTCAAAATTTTCGAATACCAAGCCGTTCTCGCCGCACGACTGCTCGCAGGCCGCGTCCCATCCTCTCGCCTCCCATCCACGGAAGCTCAGCTCGCTTGGGAAGTAGACCGTATAGCCAAACGCGGCGACGGGCCGAAGTTTGCGCTCGTATTTCCAGACTTTGAAGAGTACTTTGAGGAGTTGAGAAGAATCGCTGGTCCACCCACGGCAGACGGAAAAGGACGAGAGCTGCTGCCTTTCAATAAGTTCTGGTTTGAACGGTTTATGCAAGGTCACGAGCGTCGAAAGGATATGTGGAGGAGGTTGAACGCACAAGCGAGGGAGACACTAGGAGTGAGAGGTTCTGACGGGAGTTTACGCCCAAAGTTGTGACGATATTGGAGCTTTGCAGAGGTCTAGATTAGGGTTTTCAAGTTATTCTGTGTCCCAGTAAATTTTGTGCATCAAGAATTGTTTAAAATGTTCTGTGGCAAACTACTTTTCTGCAAGCGAGCAACGTCTTTTGGCTTAGCCGACGGACTGACGGAGAATCTCAAGCGTCCTCCTGCTTCCATTGAGGTATTGTGTTTCAGCATTTCCGTCATGCCGGAGCCTGTGGGTATGTCGAAAGACGGACCCTGCTTTGGTGTCTTCGGCGTGTGCGACTTTGACGCTAATTACCGCCTTGCGATCTGCAGCTGCCTTCTTGGTTAGCCTGACGATCCAATTCAATATTTCCGTATGTTCCTCTCCACGTGTCAACTACGTGGACTGTAATCGTTCTGCGGACTTTTGCGTTCGAAGTCAGCATGCAATCCCTCTGGCATCCGCATATGCACCCATCCACACATACAGCCTTTGTGGCGTGCGATTAGCAGCCGGATTTAGTATTCATTGCGAATTCAATTGTGTTTATTCTCTGCAAGATATGCTTGCTTGATCGCAGTAGTAAAAGTGCGTTTATGTGAGTGAAAGTACGAGTGAGGGTACTTCTGAGTGAATTCAGTCGCGAGTGGAGAGTGGGACTGAGGCTGAGACTGAAAGGAGCAGTAAGACTAAGAGATATCACAAGACATCGGACGAAACATAACGACCACCCGAGTGAATCTTGTAGACAGTGTCTTATCCACCTAGGAGGTACTCATATCAGATTTCTTCAATCGGCGTAACATGAATCATTCCAATAATCACTTTGCGATGCACGTTGCAGCCTCTCATTAGGTCGCAGCTTGCAGGATAGGAGCATCGCTATTCGGGCCAGTAGTCACAGAGGAATCTTTCTATCTCTAAGTCATGTTTTATCGTTTCTATTTGTTTAGATCCGCAGTACATGCTGGAAGAAACGATATCAAGCAACCATAGAGTGTAGACTGGGTCTCCCAGGCCGAATATTAGAGCCAAGGTCAGAAGAAGGATGTCATTCAAGATAAATGCCTATTTAACAATGCAGTCCTCTCCAACGTGGTCATTCCCAACAACAACGTACCGTGCTTAGAAGGTTTTTGATGCACAGCTATGAGACAACTAACGCAAATAGGAAATATGTTTAATAACTAATAGACAAGATAATATGTTGGCTTCTTAGGGAAACAACTTCTGAAAGAAAAAACACCGAGCAGAATCCTACCAAGTGCACCTAATCCTTGGCTTATAATTTGACAAGCCGCAATGAAACACCTCGTCATACTGAGAATCCTGGCGGCATCGAATGCCGCTAACGCCCGGGCACTGCATCTTACCTGGCTCATCCTGGGAACCAGAGTACACACATCCTTCGACACCATGAACATCAAACTCGCCGAGATTCGTGGGGAATTTTGGGTTCGATGAAGTGGTGGCCGCCGCGAAGGCACCCTTGGGCTCATCATCACAGATATCAATAGTGCTCCCTGTTGCGGACTCGTAAATGATCCAAGAACGAGCCAAAACCGACTCAGTGAACGTCTCCCTGAGGCCAATGAAGACGACGTTTGGACGGGGATGGTCGCCGAGCTGGGTACAACTGTTCAGCCAGGCGGCAATAGCGCCATTTGTGCGGTCGATGGCGACGTAGCTGGCCCGACCTGTGTTCTGAAGGATGGCGTACCTCACATCACTTCCAGACACCCCGACGCCGCCGGCGATCTCAGGCTGTTCGAGCCAGGTCGGCTGATTGGGATAATTGTTGAGCCAGACCCCAGCGGCGCCATCGCGAGCACATGTCCAGACATAGTCGGCCTTTCCATCACTAAAATTCTTCATGTTAGTGAATGATCTCAAGAGTGTGGAAGAAGCAGGCGTGCAGAGCATGGAAAGAGTCAGTGGCGGACATGAACTAACCCATTAATGTCAACAAAGTCAATTTCTTCAGGTCTCTGCCCAATACCTGAAGCGTCAGCCTCCGGCAGTGGTCTCCAACTTGATGGCGGCTTGTTAGTTTCCCAGACGTTTCTGTAAATTGTTATTCCACCATTCGACTTGAGAAATATGTAATCATCATAGCCGTCGCCATCGATATCAGCGAAGCGCACATTCGCGCCGGGTCCCAGGCCGGTGGCGATCGATCCGACAGGGTCCCAAAGCCACTTCTCTGCCTTGGATTCATCGGGCCCCTTGTTCAAATACGCGTGTAGTTCTCCTGTTCTCGGGTCAAGGACCAAAAATCGTCTTTTCCATCACTTTTTGGAATGTTAGTTTGACTTGAATACCATAGCCGTATTGCAATTAAACACAAGGAAGCACAAAACTTGCCCATTAATGTCTCCAAGTGAACAGTGTTTCCTGGACCAGCTCCTGACGCGATTGGATTTCCATTGTTGACTGGACTCCATAACCACCCCAGAGCATCATCATCATTGGGACCCTTATTCAAGCTTAAACCTTAAGGTCAGTCAAATTCAGTCATTGATAGCCACAGGTGACCAAATTGGATAGATGAAACTCACAAAACGGTCGGTGCCCCGGTGTCTGGATGAAGCCAAACATAGTCTTCAATCTGTAAGATAGTGAGCCAAGATTGGGTTCTAGTTTCAGTGACTATCGTTTCGGAAGAGGATAGACAAGGGAAAACTAACCCCATCGCCGTCAATATCGGCAAATCGAATGCCATCGATGGCCATGGATGTGTCGGCATCACCCTGATTATACCACAGCCAGATAGCCCCGTTGTCGTCAATGTATGCGTAGTCATCTTTGCCGTCTCTGGGACCAGGACAAGAGAAGTCAGCAAAGATGGCCAGCTTCGTCGAGTCGAATGAAGCAGTATCAACTCAGTGCAACTCACCCATCCATGTCAGCCAGTCTAATGTTCTTCGGATCTTGCGTGATACCATCTGCAATCGTTTTCGCCTGCCCCTGATTGACGTAAAGTGGCACTCCTTCTCTTCTGGTTGGCTGGTTCAAAAAGCCTGTGAGACCTGCCTGGGCGTCCCGAATGAGGTAGTCGTCGCGGCCATCGCCATCCACCTAATTACAGGCCGTGTTCGTTAGTCCGTGAGAGAAAAGCACAAAGGAGTGAGGAAATAACCCGTGTAGAACTTACGTCGGCGAACACAAGATTTGAGATATCAGATGTGCCACCAGTAGCAATGCCCCCTTGAAAATAGAAGACCACATCTTGCCCTCCTGCAGTCCCTGTGTTCATCCAATGGGAGAGAGACCCAGCAGCTCCAATATACACGTAGTCCGCGCGACCATCGCCGTTGATGTCCGGGAATCGGAGTGTGGCCCAGTTAGCATGAGGAACACCAGATGCTATTTGACCTCCGTCAATAAACTTCCATCCATTGACCCAGGACTCGTCTGCTCCATAGTTCCACCAGATCTTCACTGCTCCATTTTGCGGGTTGACGATCATGTAATCCTCGAGCTAGTTATAAGTTTGGTTAGCAGAGGTTGATTTAGGACGCATAAAGAGACATAAGTGAGTCTGATTAGATTGGAAACATACGCCATCACCGTTCATATCCTATAAGCCGTTAGCGAATCTTCATTTTTGAGGCTAGTTGCAAGAAAGAATTCGTCATGAATGACATACCGCCAAGAAAACAGACTCTGCAACACCGGCACCACTGCCGATGATGCTATTGTTCGTCCCTGCTGGAGACCACGGGGCGGGAAGGTTGTTGATCCAACATCGTATCTCTCCATTTTCAGGATTGAGCCATATGTAGTCTGTACGAAACGATTGTCAAGTCAGACAGAGCCCAAAGCGTCTCTTGAACGGCAGCAGTGACTTACCTGCTTTCCCATCTCCATTCATATCATGCAGTCTGCGAGAGCTCAACGGTCAATTAAACACTCCAGCGAGAAGTTTTGATGGTCCAGTGACATACCGAACGAATTTGGAGTCTAATTTGAGTCCATCAGCGACTTTGCCCGCTTCGATCCAGTTTTTGCGATATTGCCAGCCGCCAGCTTTTCCAAAGCCGGATGCGATCATGCCTGTGGCTCGCCACACTGGCCCGCCCTTGCAAGTGCGCTCCCCGCCGCTCCCGCCGAGAAGAGCAGCCGTCCGAACGCTGCTTCTCGAGCTCACCTGGATCGGGTTGATTCCCCAGCTCGGAGACGGGATAGCCCCATCTAAGCCGCCGTTCGCATCGATGCCGGGTAGTGTCGGTTGGTCTGGGTCGTCGCCCACAGGTTGGCGGATCCAATCGGAAGGGATCTGAGAGATGAAGTCATACCAGTAATCGCCAAAGTCCCGGTAGCCTTGATTTGTTGGGTGAATGCAGTCCCGAAGAGATCCTGTAGGGAAAGTAGTGAAATCGACCGCGAGAACGTGCTTGCCAATGGCTCGACGAGACTGCACGATGCCCGGAATGAGAGCCTGGTACTGAGCTGTATTCACCTGCTGGGCTTCTTCACAAGTACTGATGATCATAGCCACAAGGACGACGGCGTCCGGGCAAGCGTCCACAATCTGATCGATAAGCTTGCCAAGCCGACTAGCCGCTCTGCTCGGATCATTGCCTTGCTTAGCAATATTAAGGTTAGGATTCATGTCGTTTGTGCCGGCGTGCACAAGGATAATATTCGGCCGTTGCTCTAATGAGCTGCTAACGTGTTCCGAGATGTACTGGATCGTCTGGCCTGACCATGCAGCCTGTTGATGAGATTTCGTTCAGCAAGGCTCAGTGTTTGGAGGTTCCCAAGTTTCGTGGCTTACAAAATATCCACCAGACATCGTGCCTCCAGCAGACTCAGTCCCCACGAAGACAACTTCATCCTCTGGTGATAGTGAATTCGGTTGTCAGCAAACAACGTCGTAAGACAGTATGTGAAGTAGCCAGGGGTAGTTACTTACTTGACAAGTCTTGTTGCAGCTTTAGTCTGTAGCCGTTACCGTCGCCTCCATCCCTCTCGCTGAGGAATCCAACAGTGATGGAGTCTCCCACGCCGAGAATGCGTAGCTTGGTCCCTGGCTTGACCGCCTGACCTGGAGCTACACCTTTGAAGGTCAACTTGTCACCAATTTCTGTACCAGCCCAGGTTCTGTATTTTTTCAAGTACTCCTGCGGCAAATCGGCCTCAGTTACGACATCAGCTCCGAGGAAGAGCTCTTCGGCATCAGCACCCGCTTCTATCTCCTCGCCAGAGGGACACTGGGGGTCCCATGTCAGATCACCCACAGCGGTGGAATTAATGATGGTGACCGTTCCGTCGGAATGCATGGTAAAAAGATCACCAACTGTAAACGCGGGTTCGACTCCTTCCGTGGGTGGGCTCGAGGGGGGTTCTGGGGCGAGAGGTAGGTGAGGATAAACATTTCCTAGCGCCTTTTGCACATATCTTGCCATGGCATACAACGTCAGATTCTCGCAGCTCTGGGCGATCCAATGGCCTGTGTTGTATTTGTATCTCGCAAGAGTCTTTGCCATCTTCGGGCTGTAGATCTGCAGAAGCTGGTAGGCAGGTGGAGACTCCCCTTCCTTTGGTACCCACATCTTGAGGTCTGTAACGTGGGTATTGGAGCCGTACTGATTGGCTTTGGACACCCAGTCAATGTGTAAAAGCTCATGGATCCATGTCCTGGCTATCACACACCTAAGTTAGGAAAAGGATAAAGATCATTGAAGGAGATTCATTGTTATAGCAAGCTGCACTGTAACTCACCTTTGTTGGGTAGGTAGTTATCGAGATTCGCGTACCACAGAGGCCCAAGGCTCTTGTCGTTTCCGTTCTTGATCACATCGCTTAAATCACCTTGGGCGAAGTAACGAGGACAGAAGTTGATTCGTGCAATCCCGTACATAGGATCATAATTGGTTGTGTACGCCACTTTCGTTGATCGGCTGTTACACGGGCATCTCTTGCTTGGGTCATCGCAACGGACATGAAGGCGCCACGCAAACGGATCGAACACGTATCCAGGCTGGATTGTGGCCAAATTTCGGAAGATCTGTGAGGAATCATTGGCGCCAGTCTTCAGAACTAAGGATCAGGATGATAGCTTATCTTTTATGGAATCTTGCTTGGCCTAATTTAAAGAAGGGGGTCCAAGGTATTCGACGGCCGCTGCTTCATTAAAGTTCATTATGGAAGCCTCTAAGTACAGCAAATTCATGATCTTCCAGGACTGCTACCAGCCAGAATAAATCATGGATATCTCTTTCTCATCACATCCGTTCCAGCCAACAAGTCTGGTTGAGAAATCGGTAATATTGCCGTCAAATAGGGACATGTCGTACTCACGCGTTGCTAGAGCATCGTAGAAATGATTTTCAGCCTCAGCAACGGTCAGATCCCGATATTCGAGGGGGGTTAGGTGAAGAGCTGCCGCTATCACAGCAGTAGCTAAAGAATAGCCGCAAAGGGCAATTCTTGCTGGGTGGGCTACCATCATCGTTCTAACGGATTTCGGGAATTAAAACTGAACAGAGCACACGAGTATTCTGAGAAACGCACTTGGTTCACGTGGGAAGCCACAGTCAGTCATAACATCAAGTTGATCATGGTTTTATACATAAAATCGTGGTAACCTCTCCGACGCCCATGTCCTGTCCAGCATAAGGAAACTTCTCTTTTCCTTAGCCGCCGTCACCGCTCGTATCGGCATCATTTCTCTATCGAGTACAGGGTCACTTAAATCTAATCCTTAGTACTACTAACGCCCATGTTTGAGATATTGGCGCGAAACTTCCAGTTGTGCGAACGGATTGATCGGTAATAGCGAAAGAAGCAGAAAGTCTCATGATTCATCCTTTATACGGGGCTCATGCAGGCTGTGGTTATGGATGTAGAGAAAAGCCTCATCAAACACCCCAGCATTTTAAGACTTTTGTCATGGGCATCAACCAACCCAAAATATAACATGCTCGTGTCCTAAAGCGTTAATTCGTTATTAAGAAAGGCAACATCATTGTTGGAGCTATAGACTCTTGACATTGCAGGGGTTGTCTAGCTCGTGTTGACAACCAACAGACATTTCAGAACCAACAACCGCTAAAGACCAGCTTGGCAAGCCTGACACCCGCCAGTAAAGGTCTAGCTTTGTGGGCGGCTCATGTTCAAGTGCCAACCTACCCAACAGGTTCCGCTCTTAGCTAACTCCTTCCTAATAAAGTCATCGCTGGGACATGGTGAGCCGCCCGCAGCGCGTTGAACAACGATTTGCATGCTAATTATGTCAGCAGAGTCTAATTCTATTACCCCACAGTCAAAATGCCAACAGGCAACCGCAACCACACACCATTCTACTTGGATCTGAACACATCCTTTTCAACATGATAATCTCGCCATCCATTTTTTTTTGCCGTAATCATGTTCTTTGCGGGGAGCCTATTCAGGTCCTCCGCAGCTGCGGCGAGTCAACCAGGCTTGGCCTCCATGCGGACCAACAACATCCCCGACTTTGAGGTTACGGATGATGATGCCGGCGATGACCCTGAGAGCTTCCAGATGGAGCCTTCTATTGATAATGCACGATTTCGTTCCAACTTCTATCCATCCTACACGATGGTTTATGGGTGGCCTAGCACTGGAGGCTTCTATATGTTGCAATGCGACGGCGTAGACCTCGAGTTCCTTGGCGTTGACCGCCTCGTCCCAACACCGCGGAGCGATGATCCAGCGGAGGATACTCACTGTATCAACATGCGCAAACTCGGTGCCAAGTTTTACCAAAGCGATTGGGATTACTATCTCAAGACCACCACACACGAGGATCTTCAGGATCGCTATCAAAAAGCGATGGAGCTTGGCAAAGATAATTTCTTCGCGGCTGAAGAGGCCAATAAGGCCGCCGAGAAGTTCATCAAGGTTTTTGGATGGCCGACAACCGGTGGAGTCTGGGCATTGAAGGTGTCCACGGACAAAGTCCACTCGTTTGGCATCAGAAACGCCTTCACGATGGACGAAAAGTGTCGGGCGATTGAGATGATGGGGGGAGTCTTTTATGCCGACCCAAACGAGTGCCCAGATTTGGACCTTGTATAGTCAAAGCTGGACTCGAGCACATTCGATATTTTGGGTTGGAACTGGTCGGTAGATGCTTTGCCCGTGCAGCAGATCAAGCCCTCCGTCGATTGCTTTAAGTACTTCATTCTTCTACTGAATTAAGAATATGACTCGTTCGATACAACAAGATTAATTCCAAGTGCACTGCGATAGCACCAGCCATGTTTCATCGCTCGGGCAACCCTTCGTAGTACTCGTGGTAGCATTTTGAGATTGCCTCAACTCTCGAAGACTGAGCTCACTGGGAATATAACTTTATCAGAAGTGGAAGCCAAGGACGGACGAATAACATTGGGTTCGGGCGTTTGTACTTGAGGAAAGGCTGAACTCACAAGTGTAAATAATAGCTAGCCTTCCCAGATCGACAGCTACTGGTAAGCTCAATGTCCACACCATCCTCTCGTCTTAATCTGAGAAGCCAACATCATCACGTGCACGCTACCTTCTATCTTATTATCCGGATTGTTATAACAACTATCTTAGATTTCTCGTTGCTTTAAAGCCTAAAACCCACGTGGCCTCACTTTCGTACCCGGAATCCCCGAAACCCTTATTTCGAAAAACACTCGACCATCTCGAGACCATGAAGCCTTCCGCGCTCCTCCTCTTTGCCACCCTTATCTCGCCCGTGTAGCACTCGCCACCATAGCTGAAAAATGTGGAAGCCTCGGGGGGTTACATACACTGCCGCCTCCCTCGACACCAGCGGCGTCGACGCCGTCCAGGTTCGCGGCTTCGTGAAGCACCCCTTGGCCTGAACCCTCGATCCGGGCAAGCCGTCGGACCCCGCCGGCAGACGCAGACGCAAGGCGCAGGGACTACGGACGAGCATGAGGAGGGAATCCTTACCGTTAGCTGCTCGTGGTGGCATCATCGCGGCTGGCACAATAGCTGTGACGTCGATCCTGGCGAGTATGGGTGCTCGAGGGGATCATGCTACAAGGCGTGCGGTGGCAATGGGCGGTAGTGCTAGACTGCGAGGAACCGGGGGTTCGGATCACGAAATATGTGCGACCCGAAGTCTGATTGTGCGAGTTTGGACGATGTCGGGTGTGTTAAAGGGTGCAAGGCTTATGGTTGCAAGTGATAGTTGAAACGTTCTTTGGTTTGTCGCGGTCTCGCCTTGACTTCGCATGCTTTCCGCCACATTTCGAACTTTGATTTAGCAAGCTTAACATCATCGATAATTCGACAATGGTATTACATTTCGAGTCTCCGTTCTGAGTGCAGACAGGTCGATTCTCGTGGATAGTAGTGGCGTTTGTCCGTGCATGTAATGATCATGCACCCTTCCGCAAACCTCCTCGAATCCATCAGCTTGTCAAGTCTTCATGTCAGACGTGTCACAACTCAAAATCTGACGACTGGTTAGTGCACAGCATTAAAGTATAGGAATTACCTCACAGATACCCAGCATCATTCAAATACTGTACTCCCCACAGGACCAGGTCTGGTCGTATGAAAGGATTCAATGGCAGAGAGCAACAAACATGTCTTGACTAGAAAGGCATATTCGATGATGTGCGCGTGCAAGTCCATGACTTCGCAAGGGTAGTCATCTCCGTATTCAGAGTGTTAGTCTTTCCGTTATTTTGGAGACTTCTCTACCGGGCTACTTTCTACATGATCCGGAACAACTCATGAGGTTGGTAAAATTACTCGATACCCTGTCACGACCAAGAAATAGAACTAAGAGTCCAAGATACCGCTGACACCTACTCAGGTCGCTCATGTACCGTTACCCTCAACCCCTTGGAATCCTCCGGCATCACAGGAACCACGGTATCGCTCGTGATCACGAGATCAGCAGCGGTCGTCTCAAAGAGCTTCAAGGTTCCGACATCATCTTTCCCTTGAACCTCCTCCGACCCATAAACCCTGAATAGTGCCGCCAGAGTGAGGTAGAGCTCCGCATATGCCAGATTGATACCTAGGCAAGCTCTGCCACCCTTGCCGAAGGACACTAGATAGCGGTCCAGCAAGGGGTCGTTAACCCAGCGCTCAGGCTTGAAGGTGTGAGAGTCAGGGAAGACACGCTCATCGTGGTGCACCAGGTTGCTGGTCATACTGAGGGGAGTACCGGGAGGTATACGCCATTCGCGATCGCCGGCGCGGTATACGAGCGTCTCGTCCGGGCAGATGCGGTGCAGCCGGTGCGAGATGGCATGGCTGAGACGGACGCCCTCCTGCACCACGCCCGTCAGGAAGGGAAGACGCTCGAGCACGAGCAAGCTGAGGGGCTGCGATGGATCGGGGATCGCGGCCTCGAGCTCGGCTTTGAGGCGCGAGAGTATTTCGGGCGTGGCAAGGACGAAGTACGTCGAGACGCCGAGCGCCCAGGCCGTAGTGATGGTGCCCGCCGCGACGACGACTTCGCCCTCCTGCCAGAGCCGGTCCGTGGACTTGTCGTAGTCGGAGAGCTTGCTGTTTAGGATCTCGTGGAAGATGGTGCGGCGCGTCTTGTCGTACGCGTGCATTTGGTGGGCTTGAGTGATGTCGGCCACCTGTTTCTTCACACTGGTCTGAAGCTGGGAGTAGGCGCCCATGGCCGGGCTCAGCTTGAGCAGCAGGGAGTCTGGCAGCTTGCGCAGCAGGTCCATCAGCGAGGGAAAGTGCTTCAGAACATGGCCGGCTTTGCCGCCCTGAAGCATGGCATCTCTGAATGATGGATCAAAGTCAGCGGCCTGGAGTCGGTTCTCGCTTTTTCCAAAAGCATAGTCCTCCACGATATCTGAAGATTTGGTCTTAGTACGCAAATCCTTTCTCGGCATTTGTTTGAGGGTTCTGACCGTTGGTAAGTGCAGCATAGGCATCATCAAGCTTCAGAGGGGCTCCGGACTGGGCAAACTCGCGGAGGCGTCCGAGGAGGATTCCCATGTTCCGGTCCACCAGTGGTTGCAGAGCGCGAACGCTTTGCTTGGAGAAGTACGGCGACAGCGCCGCCCTGCGGATGCGGTGCTCATCGTGGCCAAGAGTACCGATCAAGCTCTCGTCGACGCCGAAAGACCGGGTGATCCAGTCCCATTTGTCACGCTTGCGTCCGCTGCCAGCGTAGATGGTGTTGTAAAAGTCCGGATCCGCGATGTGAATCTCGTCGGGATTGATACGGACTATAGGGCCTGGTTGGGTATTAGTTCAATTTGACTCCTTTGATTGTCATGTTGGCAAAGATGAACACCGACCATACTGCTTGTGCAATCTACCAATTTTGAAGGTGTACTCGGGCTCGGCAACTACATCGTACCAGAATTCATACCAGTATGTCCATGCTGCTAGCTTTGGGCCCGGAAAGTGAGAGATTGGACTGAGGAAAAGGCGGCAAACAGTAAGGTAGAGAAAGTAGATGATAGGGAACACGATCAGAGCCGCTGCCGCCAGCACCCCCAATGGCCTGGCCGTCTCGACAGGAACGACGAATATCGACATGTCGGCTCAATCTTCGTTTTTCAGAAGAGACAGAGTAGCTGGGAAGCCCTATGGAACGGATATGGTATCCAGCTACGGCGACATGCTGCAAGCTTTTGTCGCTCAACAACAAGTCGTCTTGAGTTTTCAGAAATCTCGTGTTGGACCCGTTCACGTATTGAGCTTGAATGCTGGGACCAAAATCCTACAGCAAGTCGAAGCATGCAGCCCAGTATTGTCTCACATAAGCCGGGGTCGAGATTGCGTGGAAATCTGATTTGCCTAAAAATGGGGTCTACCCTTGTACACAGGACTTGATAATGGAGAAATTGCTCGTCAGCGTTGATTACAGGCCCTCGGATTCGTCTGCAACTGACCCTAACCGCTCGATAAGGCCGAGGCTTGCTGCCAGAACTGCAACTGAGCCCTTAGTAAGCCCTAACGCAGAGATATCTAAGTCAAGGCAAGGTGTATCGACTTTATGGAGATGCTATTTACACGGCACTGAGGTGTTTGTGAAGTAGGATGGAGCCCTGCGTCGGTTGCGTGGGGGGGGGGGGGGGGCCTTCTGCAGGTGGATGCAGTGGGCTGGGCCGATCCGTCTGCTCCACAATCCCACACGGAAGGATTCGGGTTTGTGGAGCCCGCTGAAGGAGTGGGCCTGCGTCGTCGGCGTCGCATTGTAATGTGCCCCGATTAGGCAGGCATGCCAATAGTGCGAGCGGCCCGCACTATTGGTGCCGTCTTGCCCGGAGTTTTCCCCCCGAGGGTTGTAGTGCCTTATCAATGTCGTTCCATGTGGCCTACAGTCAGCAGCTAATCTGCCTCAGGTAATGACATCGTATGTTTGGCTTTGGCCTGCATCTCTCGGCATGTCAGATGCCCTGAATCCAAGCTGGGAATCGATAAAACTAGTTGCCGAGATACCGAGTGGGAGGCGCACCAGTTGGCTAGGGAGACTGGGTTGAATTCTTTCCTTAGAACGTAAAGGATAATCGTTCAGCGTCAGATAGCAACAATTGTGTTCTCAGATACCATCAAACATTACACTTGTCCTGCACTTCCAACTTAGGCAGCCTGTCACAAGGTTCAAGCTCGTCACCATGCCTCTGGAACGTGCCGATTTCGTTGGTGCCATATGGCTCACTACTCCTATTCTGGTCTTGTTGGGCTCCAAAACCCCGAGACACTTACGCTGGATCCTTTTGCTCCCTTCCGTGGGTGTTTGTCTACTTGTGGCTTTGGCTTTTCCCTTTGGCCCGGATATTGCAAAGAATTACACCTTTGGAACAGGTTGGGCACCAAACAGAACGTTCCATCAAGCCGATATCCTAATAGCATTGTCTCTTAGTCTTTTACGTCGCGTTGGTCAACTTCAACCTTCTTGTGCTCGAAGACCCTTACTTGGAGCACAAGTGGACACAACCCACAAGCGATGGGAAGAAACCTCAACAGCCTTTCCACTCTCTCGGTGCATGGGACCAGATAAGATGGTGTTTTGATAATGCCTTCTCTACCAGAGGTATTGGATGGAACTGGCGGACTGCAACTCTACCTCCAGCTCCTGCTCCAGGCACCTCCAAGACCGCCTTCCTCAGGCTATCGATGCAACGAATACTACAGCAATACATGAGCCATGACATTGCTGCTGGTCTTCTTCTGTGGCTGACTCATGATGGGGAAATGGGCGTCGTTGAGTTAGACTTCGTCTCCCGTTGCATCGCTACAGCCTGCTGGTGGGCCTCATCAATTGCCGTTATGGACATCGGATATCATATCGCTTGCATGATCGGGGTGTCGTCCGGGCTTTTTTGGACGCGCATCGAAGACGTCCACCCGGTAAACGGACCTTGGATCGAGTGCTACACCCTGAGCAGATTCTGGAACCGCACGTGGCACCAGAACTTTCGAAGGGGCCTGCAAATCCCTAGCAGATTCGTGGCCAGGAGAGTTGTCAGAGCACCTAGAGGGTCTATGCTCAGTCGGCAAACCCAATCGTACTGTGCATTCACCCTTTCTGGGCTGTACCACTGGGCGGCAGCAAAGATGGCAGCTCCATCTGAGTCTTTCACAAGAACTATCAGCTTTTTTCTGCTGATGCCTAACATCTTGCTCTTGGAAGATCTGGTCATTAGTTTTGCTCAGGAGAAACTCGGATGGCATGGATCCTGGTGGCGTGTTGTTGGACTTGTGTGGACTTTCCTTGCTTTGACTATACTCGGTACAGGATTTGTGAACGATTTAGTCGCACCTGGACTTGTGACCGCTTTTCCGGCGCTGCCAATGTCACCCACTTATTATATGCTGAACGCCATGGTCGAAAACAGGGGTTGAATCTGGTTGACAGCATTCATAACTGGGCAATCTATTGTACTGTTGTAGATGCGAGGATTTTTTGTAATGTTCGTAGACTATATATAATGATTCTAGCCCCTGAGAACCATCATTTGATCTTGTGGCCACCAGGCACTAGCTCCGTGAACAGTCCGTCGCTGTCGTAGATGTGTCTGACCTTTTTCAAGAACTCAACGTTTTCAGCTCCATAGCTTGCGACAGGATCTTGGTCTTCCGCGGCATAGTTCATGTACTTGAAAGGATGATACAAACCCTTTTCCCTCGCCGCGGCTACGGATTTCTCAAGAACGCTCTTGATGCCGGGAATCACGACAGCATCGTCTTCCTCACGAGA